AAACCAAGGAAGTATACCAAAGAATGGATAAAGGCGAAAGTAGAAGGAAAGGTGGGAGTCAGACCTTATGCTGTGGTGACCGAGCAAGGAAGATTTCTTAGGAGGAATCGTCGACATATGCGTGAGACGAATGTTCAAGGCCCAGAAGTGGAACCGGAAACGGTCTCATAGGGCCGTTACCTAGAGTAAGTACAGAAGAGTTTGTTCAGTAGACCGCTAGTCCACAGCCTAGCTGTCTCAGGCACAAGGAAATTCATTGACAGTAGCAAGCCCGACAGGTGTTCAGCAGCAAGAGTGTCATGATCGGGGGGAATGTAACGATTATCCTAGAAAGTATAGTTCCCAAGGACGTCTTCTTAGAAGACCTGCCTACTTCAAGGATTATGAGACTGGAACCTAGGAACTAGTATAGAAGGGATATAATATTATTTTATTTTTTTAAAAAAACTCGTTGGTTCGTATATTTCTAAAAAAATATCATCTTGAAGAAGGGAGATGTGACGTAGGTGCATGCATAATGTATAAAGGCTTGAACTGAACCCTAATTGTAAACAATATGCTAATCAACGTATTAATTTAAAAGGAGTTTTTTGGCTTAGTTTTGATATATTATTAACCGACTTTTGTACAGTAATATATACTAAAAATATAGACTTTCTTTGGAAACATTACATGACTGCAGCGGGCATTAATACTTTACAGTATAAAAGTCATACTACACGAGCAGCTTCTATATCTCACCTTGCTCCAAGACATTTTGACCTGAAAAATATTATGCTTAGGAAACATTTCAGCGTTTTGATAATCTAAATACCAATACATTTAATTTTGGAAGTGCCATTATGGGCACGTTATCGTAAATCTCTATCATAAATTCTTAAATTGGTTCAATGTCAGCTCTAAAATCTCCAAAAATACCTCCGACTACAGCTAATGACGTAATAGAATCGAAAATTAAACGAGACTTATCTTAAGTTGAAGTTTAATGAAGTTTAATTATAGTTTCAATTAAATGGAGCAACTTGTTTTTCCAAAGTAGACATTACAAAGACCTATCACCAGCTAGAACTTCACGAAGGCATTGCATCACAACATTTAGTACAAACATCGGTCTCTTTAGAAACAAAAGCCTGAACTATTGCACAAATGCAGCAGGTGAAATCGCCCAGTATACATTACAAACCCAATTACAAGGATTATCGGAGTAAAGAATATAGCTGATGACATTTTGGTATATGGCACCGCACGACAAGAACATAAACGAACTTGAACAATACACTTGAATCAAGCGAAGTGCAGCTTCTTAAATGGCAAACTGGAATTTTTCGCACAAGTGTTTTCCAAAGATGGCAGCCAACCTGATCCCAAACGTGTCGAAACCTTAAAGAACGCACCAGTACCGAAACTGTTGCTGAAGTACGAAGTCTCCTCGGCATAGCAAATTACAGTGCCAAGTATATTCCGAAATTTGCAACCATCACAGCTCCATTGCGGCATTCAACGAAGAAAAATAGAACTTTCGTGTGGACAGACATTCATCAAATTGCATACAACAAGTTAACTTCTACCATAGCCAAGATACTGATCTTGCATGGCCTACTTTGGCATACAAAAATAAAACCTTCCGAATTGTTCGGGCAGCTATCAAGCTCAATAAGTGACACTACGAGATAGTCAAGTCTATAAACAAATAAAAGATGAACTTACGGTGACAGAAAAAGGCGTGGTTCTTCGTAGATTTCGTATAATGATACCAGAATCGCTGCAGCGACGTGCGATTGATATTCAACACGAAATTCGTCTTGGCAATGGTGAAACCAACAACGAGAAGTGCGTTCCGTGTCAAGCAGTTGACAAAGCACCACCACAAGAGCCAATATCAACGACAACAATGCCAAAAGGACCATGGGAAACGATACATTTGTATTAAATTCTACAGATTACTTAATTCGAGAGAGCACCTTCTGGTCGCAACGACCAGATCAGATGTTCGCCCGCCATGGTTACCAGCAACAATCAAGTCAGACAATGGACCACCTTTCTGGCTATATACTTCTTCTATGTCATATAATTAAAGAAATGACCCAATAATCGTGTTGCAAAAATTCTCTGTGGGAAACTATTCTTCCACCGTTGAATGAATTGAATGATGGTTATCATTTACTCAGATATACGCATTAAGCCTGCCGCACACGAGAGCTATCAGCTGAGCTAACAGCCACGCGAGGTTTTTAGCTCAGCTAATAGCTCTCGTGTGCGGCGGACTTATAATAAATTTAAATTTGTGCCGTTTGGCATTCAACTGGGCCAGTTTGATTTTGACAGGATATATAAGGAAACAGGACTTCTTAATTGACACTTATTAATTGAAATATAAAATATAAATTATATGAAGTAGAAAGCTAAATAACTGCTCTTTGATAGTAACAAAAAAATGTTAGGTGTAATGTTCTCATGTAACTGATGTAAGTAAAATGTTCCATTGTTGTAGTGATCTGTTTACTGTCATGTCATGTACTGTTGTAAATGTTGTAACTTGTAACCATAAATAGTCAAACCGGACACTATAATGTGACCATGCAATCAGGGAGCAGTTTCAATTCATGTAAATTATGTAAACACACTTGTTATTTTAAATAAGTAAACACACAGTTATTTTAGAACCTATAGTTATCGTGTCCCATAGCAATGCTCGTGTTTTGATGGAACATGCATTATATTTTTGTTGCGCTTAAGTGCTTACGGATTAGAAAATAGGATCGTATTTTGAAACGGAAGGAAAATGCATGATATTCAAAATTCTCAGTCTTGCAAGCTAACTAGACGAATTAGGTACGAACTGTTCCCTCGTTAAAACATGTTAATTTATAGTTAATATATAACTACAGTGTGTTGCACATTCGGGGCGATCTACATGACAAGCAAAATATTTTCAAGATGAAATTCGTTCCTTATAAACCGCATTTCCTACATAATTATTACATATTTCACAAGTTTTATTCCAATACAAATGTCAAGGCAAAATTTCCTGCGATATCTTGATATCATTAGTTTTGAGTTTTGCATTTAAAAGGTTTGATTTGCTACTCGTATGCATTATAATTACTAAATGCAAATTCCCATTATTTTTTGCGAGCTTACAGTTAAAGGTTTTTGAAGGACAGCCTTTTTTGAATAGTTTTGAGAGGCTCAAGGGATTTGTGTTTGAATTATGCGTTTAATAATTTCTTATGCACTCTTTAATTTGATTTGCATGAAGAAAGCAATGTGAATATAGTGTTAGTACCCCACATATAGTCAAGGACCTGTACATGAGTTTGTATGCATTTGATTTAGGACAAGTAAAGTCAACTGTTTTAGGGTAAATTGACCATGGCAGTCAACATGGTAACGCTGCCCGAACCATAACACAGGGCGAAACATCCGAAACTGATCACACCCCAAAACGGCACATTCACTATAGTGCTATCTGCCAAACCAAAAAAGCTTTAAGTAATCTGAACTGCTTATATAGTTGAGAGATGGTGCTTTTAGGGGTTGTCATTGGTAAGTAAAAAATGCCTAGCACTAATACTTTACAAGAAAATGACCATGCAATATTCAAACATAAGTGTCGAATTGTGGCTAACAACTGCAAATAAACAGCAGTGGGCCTGCACCGCCTTTTCGTGATAACGATAAGCCAGGAGATTGATCTCTTTTCACACGAAGAGAAAAAAGCTGCGCACGACAACAAAGGCCTAATAACTGTAATTAAAAAAGACTGAAACCAATGTATTAATAAAATTATATCCTGAAATATACTGTTATATACTGGATAGTGCCAAAGCGTTCAATGTTGTGTGTATTTTCAGTCTTCAGATGCGGCTTTCGATCATCTGTGAAGATATTCACCCCCCCTGTCAGAGCCCTGTTCCGTTTCTCGCGCGAAATCTGTACGCATTGTTTTAAACAACTCATGTGCAAATTTTACAGGGTGGTAAAATGCTGTATTTCTCATATTTTATTCATGTTTTTAATTTCAAGTCCTTTATAAAGGTCTTATTTGTTAATGCTGATACTAAAAGGCCTTCATTGTAAGAGAAACATGCAATCATGCGGAATTGCTATCAACCGACACGGGATGACACAATGGCGCCGTATTTGGTCAAAGTTGGGATTTTACGTTGCCGATTGTTAAACAGTTCAAATCTACTTGAAAACTTTGGAAACTCGTTAAAAAAGTAAATATTATGTCTCGACCGACTTTCATATTCAGAAGGATTCGAAGGATTCGCTGATAAACAGAGGAGTGGACTTGGGAGTCGGCGAAATGCGTCCATTTACAGGAAGTAAATTTCAAATTAATATTTCAGTCACAAAATATTAACTTTTTTACACCAAACAGTGATAATATTTTTAAAAAGGGACGAATTATGTTTCCATAAAAAGATTTGGGAAAAAAGGCAGTGCAGGCCCACTGCTGTTTATTTGAAGTTATTCGCCACAATTTGACACTCGTGTATGAATATTGCATGGTCATTTTCTTGTAAAGTATTAGTGCTAGGCATTTTCTACTTACGAATGACCACCCTTAAAAAGCACCATCTCTCAACCATATAAGCAGATTACTCAAAGCTTTTTTGGTTTGGCAGATAGCATTATAGTGAATATGCCGTTTTCGGGTGTGGTCAGTTTCGGATGTTTCGCCCTATGTTAAGCCGGTTTTTCACTAGCGCTTATTTTCGCGCGAAGCGACATTCTACTTTTGTTTTAGAGCTCTCAACTGCAACCATCTAGAACAAATTGCTCAAATACAAAAAAATAAAGTCGCTTCGCGCGAAAAATATCGCTAGTGGAAAACCGGCTTTATGGTTGGTTCGGGCAGCGTTACTATGTTGACTGCCATGGTCAACTTAGCCTAAAACAGTTGAGTTTACCTGTCCTATATAAATGAAATGCATATAAACTCATATACAGGTCCTTGACTAACAAGGAAGTATCTTGATTCATATACTTACTCTTTTATGCTCACAGGTATACCATCCTTTTTCCAACCTTCAAAAACAGGCCCTTCCCCACGAATCACGATATTTGTTCCGTCCTCGCGTTTAAATTTTGTAGATAATATCGCATGGAAAACTACGGTTAAACATTTTTCTTCAGAATAACTTTTAGATCCAATTCTAAATATACGTATAGAGAAATGGTAATTAACTCGTGAAACTCGAGATTTTTAAGATAATTTGGTAATTTTTAGGATAGGTAAAGTTGATTTGTATGCGTTATTTGTATGAAAGGTCTATAGCTGGCATAAAACGTTAGCAAGAATCATAATTATAAATTTCCATTACGAAGTGCATACATTGGGTAAACGTACGATCGTACTATTGGACCAGGAACTGGTGAAGTATCAACACAAAGCGCGCATTTCTCAGTTCGAGTCTCAGTTAATGACTTGGGTTAATAAACTATATTACGCTGTGTGGAGAGACTTAATTGTTCGTGCGTACGGCCGTCAAGAAAAACTTGACAAGCGTGTGAAAAAAAAAAAATATATATATACATAAATATATATATATATATATATATATATATATATATATATATATATATATATATATATATATATATATATATAAATATATATATATATATATAATATATAAATATATATATATATATATATATATATATATATATATATATATTATATATATATTGTAATTGCAAAAAATGACGCAGTTTTAAAATAATCCCTATACTCTATAGTCTATACAGGGTGAGTAAAGAAAAACCTGATACCTTTGAAATTCAAATTAGCCGCATAGCGGTTGTAATGTGACAGAAATTGCCTAAAATATTTCATGGGTATACGAAGCATATCAAATGTGAACCATCATTTAACCTAAAACATAAAGTTGTTCTCTTTGGGAGTTAAAATGCATTCTAAGCTCTGTAAATAAAAAAGAACAGTTTTATCAAATCGTTTTTCTAGCACAAGCGCCCTGTTGAATTAGTTCAATTGATTTAAACACTTTCGCATTAATCAACCACGTCCTGTTGATTGTACACATGGGAATTGTCAAATTCTAGCCTTAAGTTCGCGGCTACTTTGACTTTCAAAGGCGTCGGGGTTTTTTTACTCACCCTGTACAGCGCACGACTTTCTGCTCTTGGGAATTTAAACTAGCAGCTTCCTAAACAGTTTCTTTATCCGTAAATTTAATCATTTTAAATAGCCGTAGGGTTTTTTCAAAGAAAACAACAACACAAACAACAACAACAACAACAACAACAACAACAACAACAACAACAACAACAACAACAACAACAACAACAACAACAACAACAACAACAAAATTAGCAGCGTGTGGGGAACAGTTTCTGGTCCAAAAATGCTGTCATTCCCAGGGTACTGCCACAATTTCATATTGTCTTACAGAGATAGTCATATTATTTAAACTTTATGACAAAAGATAAATATAGGATATTACAGGTTGCGAGTAGATGTTGTTCTTGCCACGAGAACATATATACCAAACCCATATCTTCGAGCGAACCGTGTACTGTTCTGTGTTTATATGGAGTGACAAAAGTACAAACAAAGATGACAAGTAAATAAGCCGTGAAAGACCATTATAAAAGAAAAAATTATAGCCTAAGGATTAAAGTAGAATAAATTTTATTCATGTAAAGATGCCCTTGAAATGTTTTCGTTTGTATATCCAACGTTAATTTCGTTTTATATACGAACCAAAACCATTTATATTTTCACAACGACAACAATGAAAATGGCGGGGAAATTTTTGAAACTCGTTATGTCACCTTTAAACGTGATATACGGAAAAATCCACACTGTATCCCAGATGTAGTGGCGCTCTACGAGTGTTTTAGTTCTCAGAAAAATACCCCAATCCATATAATAAATAAGCTTACAGCATAGGTAGCTATATATTATATCCACAATTACGTTCACACTTCCATTATACATAATTAAAATATAGATACAAACATACGCGTTGCTTTGTTCTTTTTTCTTTTTTTTCTTCCCTCCACCTTGATTTTGCGTAAGTTGCGGTTTTTGATAAAAGTGGCCTTGGTTCTGATCACTTGCCTGTACAAAAAAAATCGTAATACTGAAATATTTTCCACTAATACTAATGCTTGGTAGTCCTTGAACCATGAGAGGGTGAAATGCGAATTCCAAAGATGCCAGTTTCTTTTTATCCTGGTTAAACCAGTCGAGAAACCATAAAAAGTGAAAATTCGCGGCGCGTTGCCAAATCACGTGCTGCCTGTGTGAACCTTTACCTGTTAAAATAGACTAAGCATTCTTTACGCTTCAGATTAAAAAACTCTCATAATTAAAATATTTAAACAATTACACAACCCAATTTTGATTATTGCTCACAGGTTTAAAGTCTATGAGACAATATACAAAATTAAGCCGTATATAATCAAGCATTTTTTCGCATGATATAACACGATAAACCTTGTAAATTGATCCTGAAACACTTCGGAAAATGCTGATCTGCTAATCTGCAACCTCGAAGAGAGTACCATTTAGCGCAGTCAAAAACAAAACGTTACCAATGTATTTATTAAAGAGGTTTACCAATAGGAATTTATTAGACCTACGTGATCGTAATAAAAGAAAGAGCGATTTAATTACTTATTGATATATATTTCTACGTGTATAATGCGACGAAACAACATGGTTTATTACATATACTTGTGCCTTTAACAGGTAGATATCAGGGTGACATTACTAACATAAAAACGATATGTCAGCGATATCGTTTTTTTTTTACAGATATCGCTCTCTCTCTAAAGAAGTTCAAAATGACGGAGAGCGTTGGTGTTTACAATGAAAAACGCAACCTCCGTCGCAGGGCATGCCAAAAATGATGTTTAATGCATAGGTTTCAGTTTGAAATTAGAATTGAAAACCTAAATTTTAATTTATTTCTTGAAAGAACTTCATCAGCAGAATAACCAAACGCACAACAAAGAGGACAACTTTAAAGTCACATAGCTTTTTGTATCGAAATTCACCATTTTCGTAAGCAATTAAATTTGCGAACAAACGACAAGGCAGGAGCCTCGCTGTTCATTTCTAAAAAATACTTAAAATCTACAATTCAAGTTTGAGCGGCACTAATTTATCACCTCCTTCCTACCTTGATCCTTTCCTTACTTTCCTCCCAGTTGCCTTCCTATCACCACTTCTACCCCCTTAACTCTTTCCTTTCTTCCAGCCAATTAACCGCCTACTTAGATCCTAGGCTCCTAGCCAGCTGTGCTGATGCTTTAAAACGTTCTTTTTAATCACGCACGTGAACAGTCACTTACCGTGATTTTTTTTAACTTCCATCCTTTTTCTCCGCCTTCCTAACCACCCTTTCAACAACCCTACCGCCTTCCCTCCTTTCCTTCCTTTCTGACTTTTACATTTCATTCTATACAGTTTCATCATTTTACTTCTATACTTGCATGCATGGTTATCTTTAGGAATATAGAATAGATAGTTGGTTTCTCTTCAGATGTAGAGATAATTGGTTTTCAGGAATTCTTTCAGGTTTAATTTGGAAATGTGATTGATTTTTAAACTATTTCTACAGTCTTCATGTATACGTACCTCAATTTTCGTATCTGCGCTCGCGGATACATTGCTACCGGGTTTGAAAGTTGGTTAGGTTAGATTTGTTTTTCGTGCTTAAAAAGCCGCAAATCGACCAACGTTTTAGATCCGTATTTTCCTTTTTATGCAACAAAAGTGAACAAAAGCCAAGAATTAGTATTTGTGGATACAAAATGGCCGCAGCGAAAACCGAAAGGTGGATTTTGATTTTTAATTGCTACAATATTGAAAAATTCGCTTAAAAAATGTTGAAATAAATTATAAGAGTTGAGTACGCTGGTATTCCTTCAACTATTTTACTTTATTTGCCCGGGGCCTCGGCGGTCGTGCGAAATATGTATGTTATCTGATTTCATATTATTGAATTTATTTAAACAGCATTGAAGCATGTAAAATTATTCAGAGACAATTTTATACTGTATTTTACGCACCTAACCATGTCGTTAACTTTTATAATTATTATATTAAGGTGTAAATTTTCACATTGATTCAGAAATGTTTATCTTCCTGAACACTTGTAGAATTGTTCCTAAAGAAATAAGCTAGGCGTATAATAATGGTGTATATTTACCCTATGAACCTCTAGAGTTTGCTTTAAAAACCTGCCTTAATTTGAAGATTAATTTGCCTTATTCGAACCTCTAGAATTTGCAAGAAGCCTGCTTTTTCAATTTCCTGCAAATTAATATTCTGTTTGCAAGCAGGCAACTACTATCAGTACATAATTTGACAAATTTAGCTTGTATGAAAATTAGATGTTCAAAGGATGAGTTGTGAGATATTTTATGTTTTAGCATGTCATATGGCTAGTCAATTTACATCTAATTCTAGCCATGTCTAGTAAACCTGTCCAGTATATATTTGCACTTAAATTAATGTGTCAATTTGGAAATTTAACAGTTTGAAAGGTTTCTATATGTAGGCATTCTACCGAAACAATATATGCTTAAAGTTTAACAAACATGTATTGCAAATGAAAATGTCAACAGTTATCATTTAGTATAATATTCATATTTATCCAGAAATCAATATACACCAAGTCAGAAATGAAATGAAATACCAACATTAGCTGTGACTTAAAGCAGTGTTCACACCACAAGCCTAGGCCTGCTCTACATTTAGCTTTGGACTTGATTTTTGTAGTCAAAATGCATTTTGGTGAGGCCTAGCTTAGGAAATCTGGAACAAAAAGAAGAGGTGACCCAGTTATTTATCTAAATTTTAATACCCCAATTTCAGTTTATAAAAACTGAAACTGAAACTTAAATTTCCTGCCGTGTTTCAACATTGCATGTCTACGGATTCCAATTGTGACCTGACTATAAAGGATAATCGCATCAGGAATGGTATTTAGAGTGTGGATCCAGCACTAGTGCACTAATTTCCATGACACAAGAAAACTGCTAAAAATAACCACTTTGATTTGTAATGCAAATCAGTGCACTAGCGCCGGATCCACCCCTGATGCTATTGGTATGGATGACCTCATTTGGTGGTATATTCTAAAAAAGTTACTAATAACATTCACTTGTTATATATTGTTAGCACTAATTATATGTAAAAGGTCGTCACATCAATGTGTACGTTAATGTGTAAGTAAAGCCAGTTTTCCACTAGCAATGTTTTTTGCGCAGCAATAGACCTTTTTAGCTTACATGCAATCAATCCATTTTAGATGTTGTGACCATGGAATAACCAATAAAATTTAACCATTTCAGACCATGTGACTTGAAATGGTTAATTTGCAGACACACTGAAAAGGTGTATTTGTTGCAAATGGATGCAGTTAAGAGCTCTGAAACAAAATTAAAATATTGCTTCGTGCGAAATTTATCGCCAGTAGAAAACCGGCTTAACGTTCGCTATGTCTTGGAACGCAGACGTCGTACACAAAACGCAAGACCTGAAAGACGTGAAAACGTATGAAACTCTCATACGTATTCTTATTATAAATATGAGAGCCCAACATATAACATTTAAGAAAGCCATCAAAACAATTTGAAGTTTAAAAGTAAATATATTTGTAACGTTTCGTCTTTAACCTAAGACATCTTCAGACAAGTGATATAAAATTACATGAGATTTGAGTATATATAATCTATTTACATATGTAAATTAATGACGGATAGGAAGGTATAAGATAGTACATGACAAAACTGCACAGACGAAGGGACATAAACACAATACAAAAATTATGAAAACACGTTACAGAAGATTAAGTGGGATTGAACTGCCCTGGATGTTAAGCGAGGGTTTGAGTTTGGAGATGAGGAGGCTTTCATGAATCATGAGTTCATGTTTGTCAGAACATGAAGAAAGAATTTTAAAATCATCAAAGTCGGCACAGTGCCCTGCAGTGGTTATGTGGGAGAAGATGCTGGACAAAACTGGACTAGATGACGGTTTTCCAGTTATAAGGAAAATTCCCAAGTGTTCCGATACTCTGGTGTGTAGATGGCGTGTGGTTTGACCCAGGTACGATGCGGAACAGCATCGACACTTGAAAAGGTATACAACACCAGATCTCAGAAACTTGGGAACTTTATCCTTAAATGGAAAAAAGGAAGAAATACGTGTGGTGGAACGAAAAACAAAGCGAATATTTAGATGCGGATAAGCAGCATTACAAAGTCGAGTAATTTGATTGCGAATCTGAAGCGAGTGGGAACCAGTGAAGGGAAGGCAAAAATAGACCATTTTCTTTGAAACTGTGTGAATAAGTGGTTTTGGCAAAACACCTTTGAGCCAAAACCACTTATTCACACAGTTTCAAAGAAAATGGTCTATTTTTGCCTTCCCTTCACTAGTTGCCACTCGCTTCAGATTCGCAATCAAATTACTCGACTTTGTAATGCTGCTTATCCGCATCTAAATATTCGCTTTGTTTTTCGTTCCACCACACGTATTTCTTCCTTTTTTCCATTTAAGGATAAAGTTCCCAAGTTTCTGAGATCTGGTGTTGTATACCTTTTCAAGTGTCGATGCTGTTCCGCATCGTACCTGGGTCAAACCACACGCCATCTACACACCAGAGTATCGGAACACTTGGGAATTTCCCCTATAACTGGAAAACCGTCATCTAGTCCAGTTTTGTCCAGCATCTTCTCCCACATAACCACTGCAGGGCACTGTGCCGACTTTGATGATTTTAAAATTCTTTCTTCATGTTCTGACAAACATGAACTCATGATTCATGAAAGCCTCCTCATCTCCAAACTCAAACCCTCGCTTAACATCCAGGGCAGTTCAATCCCACTTAATCTTCTGTAACGTGTTTTCATAGTTTTTGTATTGTGTTTATGTCCCTTCGTCTGTGCAGTTTTGTCATGTACTATCTTATACCTTCCTATCCGTCATTAATTTACATATGTAAATAGATTATATATACTCAAATCTCATGTAATTTTATATCACTTGTCTGAAGATGTCTTAGGTTAAAGACGAAACGTTACAAATATATTTACTTTTAAACTTCAAATTGTTTTGATGGCTTTCTTAAATGTTATATGTTGGGCTCTCATATTTATAAGAATCCGTTTTCCGCCTGGCAAATCTCTAGCTACGATATTGCAAACTCTCATACGTCTTTAATTATTTGTATCTTTCTAGCGACCCATTGTATTGATAGCCGCCATCTTCGTGTTGCCGTCCTATATGCTCAAAGGTCCCTAATCTGCTTGAGGCACGCAGATACATGTACGCTTAGCGTACCCATTTTCTTTCTGCCAACGGCCTACCTATATAGATCCTAGCCGACAAGACAACCTGCCTGTTTAATTTGTTTTTTGACTCTTCACATTATAATCTATAAAGCTCCACCGTTTCATTCTCTACTTTCAAAATATATTGTATACTCGAAAACCAGATACATCCTATAGAAGTTCTTTAGGAATAGAGAATCATCAGCAACAATACCTTAACAGTAGGTTCTGAAGATCCATTATCTTCTGACAAGGAATGATTAGGATTCTTAGACGTCTTTAGGACAGTTTGTTTGTCTTTGACAATTGCTTGCAGGTCCTGATTACGTGCCTAGACGAAAAATATGCAATGTTTAAAATGTTTCGACCATACTGTTGTGAGACATTTCTATCTTCTCTACCTCTCTATCTCCCTACCGTCCTCCCCCCTTTTCTACCTTTCGGACTTCTTACATTTTATTCCATACAGGTAATTAATTCTTGTACTGTCTAGTTTCATGGATATCTTTGGAATATAGAATTATCCGCAACAATACCTCAGCAGCAAGTTCTGAAGATCCACCAGTTTCGGACAAAGGTCCATAGGGACGGGCAAGGGTTAGGAGAGTTGGTTTCTCTTCTAGATTTTCTTTCAGCTTTAAGTTGAAAATGTGATTAAATTTTAAACTACTTATACTAGTCAATTTATCGAGCGATAAGCCAAATTACAGGAGTCTTCTTACAAAATCTAATCGTTTACTATTGTTTAATGTAAAGTCATGTGATGAATTTTGCACACATAGCTAATCAACGTCAAAATAGAAAATGCTTTATTCGCTTTCAAAATCGACAATATATTAATGTAGCTACTTTATACTATACTTAATAAAATTGTTGCTGAAATCGTCAAGGTTGTTTTGGTCCCACGCATAATTGCGCGTGTGTTGCAAACATTTGATAATAACACTTAAAAACTTTGAAGTATCTTACTTTTCAGTATATTAAACAGCCACCATATTAATATTCTTGTAAGTAATACCGCAAAGCGTTCGGTCCGTTAACCCGGGCCTTCATCAGTGCAATTACCTCATACGCAGGTCATTTTCGGGCAAATATGGCGTCAAAATTACCGTCTGCTTTACCCGCCCGGGCGAAGCGTCTTTTGAAAATCGGCCAATGGGACTATGAAGGGTCTTAAAAACAAAGCGCGCTTCGCCCGCGCGGGCGGAGCGGACGTAATGGAGAATCGCCTTAAGTCGGTGGCATTTACCTGACTACACATCTACACGACACATAAATATCACGTTCGTCGTGATTTGGTAGCTCGCGCCATTAATTAAACGGTTTCACTTACCAACAATTATAAAAAAGAAATAGTTCTAATTAATGCGCGCGCTCCAGACAAGTATCTAGCTAGCGAACATTGAAAAGAGCACGCCACGTACTATTTAGAGGCTTACCCTCTTGGGCGATAGTTTGATGTTTATAGATTCCAATAGATTCTCTCATTTTATGAGAGATGGTATACTTATCATTCGCTAAAATTAAAACTAAAATTAATTACAACTATTTCTTTTTCATAATTGTTTGGTAAGTCAAACCGTTTAATTAATGGCGCGAGCTAACAAATCACGACGAACGTGATATTTAATTGGCCAAATTTCCTTCAGGTCTTGACGCACTTGGATGGCGACACATTTTGGTGTCTCGCAACCATAGAGATGCTGGCAAAGTCCTACGATGCAACCCAGAAGGTCGTTATTGGATCAGATCAGACCACCAGCTTAGAGGCCTTCTTAACATGTCGCTTAATACCTTTGGACAAGAACCCTGGCGTGAGACCGATTGGGATTGGAGAAGTTCTACGACGGATAATTGGAAAATCAACTGTTTTTGCCATCAAGCCACAAATTATGGATAGCGCCGGAGACTTACCGCTATGTGCAGGACAACAATCAGGCTGCGAGGCTGCTGTTCACATGCCATGTCGGAGATTTTTGAAGAAGAAACAGATGCTGTGTCACAGGTGGACGCCACCAATGCGTTCAATTCCATCAACCGCAAGATCATGTTACATAACATTCCGTACATTTGTCCTGCAATGGCTGTTTATACGTTCAATTGTTATGTAACAGCTTCGAGATTGTTCGTGCAAGGTGGTAAAGAAATTGCATCAGAGGAAGGTACCACGCAAGGTGATCCGCTAGCCATGCATATTATCTATAGATAGGGTAAAACAATTATGATTTTTGCCACTTCCCTCGATGCAGGAATATTCTAGAGGTTTAAAGGGTCTTAATTTCGAGTGGTATTATACACACTTCAAATTCAAGCCAGGAACAGTTGATGGAAAAATGAGTCAATTATAGGTCCTCCGGCAGGAATCGAACCCTACTACCCTTTTGCGATGCCGGTGCAATGCTCTTGTCAGTGGCAATTAAGGTCCTCCGTTTTGACTGTAAAATATTTCTAAATTCTCAATCAAAAATCATAATTATCTATAGAGATACAATAAGGAATCCTAGAAACTAACAATATTACGTGGTTCTTTTCCCCCAATCCGTTCTTACATTAGGAAGAGACGGCAAATTTCCATCTGTGGTGTTGTATCCATCGACTGTTGAAGAGGGAGCCTAGTCTAAAAGTATCAAAATGTTCTGGAACACTCCCTTTGATTTTATTGTGGACATCACCACACCGGTGCTGAAAACCTCTTTTCGCCAGTAGGATCCATTTCAGCACCGCAATAGCCTCAGCAGAGGACATTTAGGAATTCACAATTTTCTTTGTGAAGCAACTTTGGAATCCTTGTAAATGGGCCATTTCCGATTTCATTCAAGGTTGATCACCCCAGACCGTATCTGCATATTCTAAATATGGGAGCACAAGGCTGTTGTAGTATGCTAAACGTGCTTTCTATCCAAAAGATGTAAGATCCGATCAAACACAGACAAGCGATGACCAATCTTTCGTGACAAATTGTTGATGTGTGCCTTCCAATTTCATTTCTCATCTAACATTATACTCAGATACTTATTCTCAGGCACTCGTTTAACTTGTTCACCATCTAGATTAAACTCAAAATCCTGAAATGTTGATAACATTTTGTTAATCTTGCCAACATCATTTTGGTTTTCTTGACATTCAAACTCAATTGATTGACAATATACCAGTTATACATAAGTTTGAAATCATGTACCAAAGCCTCATGAAGACTTTCAGGAGTGGATGCAGCAAAAACAGAACAGCGTCATCAGCAAACAGAACCATGCGACATTTTTCGACAGATGTTGGCAAACTCTTCACATAAACATTAAATAACAACGGCCCCAAGATGCTTCCTTGTGGAACACCAAGGTTGATTTGACGGGTTTCAGATAACTCTCCTTTGATACACACACATTGCCCTCTATCCACCAAATTAACCATTTCACAGCACTTTGAGACTATCCCATATGTTCTAACTTACTTTACTAGTACTTTAGATAGATAGATAAAACTTTATTTAACCACGCTACCCTCATCACCCGTGGATGATTTTCATGAGGGGCGTTACACAATTACATATTTAAGTAATTAAATAAACTAACCTACCAACAGTATACGAATAAAAGTATTTACATAATATACGCATGCAACCATTAAAAAGAAGTTAGAAACTAAGACTAATTGATGTCTGACACAGAATCGTCATGATTTTATCAAATTTTTGAAACTACTTAAAGATTTTGTTTGCTTAGCTCGCATTGGTAAACTATTCCATAGCACAGCTCCACTGTACCCAAAGCTCTTCTTTAAATATTCAGTATTTGGTTTGGGAAGTGAAAGATTGATATCAGCATTTTTAAGTTGTAATTATTCAGATTTAAATTTTCTCTTGTAATGAATTTATTTTTTAAATTAGGGGCCGAGTGGTTGTTTAATATTTTAAACATCAAAACAGATTTATTCATTTTATGCCTCTCATTCAGATTCTTCCACGAGATAGCATGGAGCAAATCTGCTGATCTGACATCGTAATTTGCCCCTGTTATAATTCTGGCCGCCCATGGGGAACAGCAATCGAAATATAAGGAAGCATAAGAGACAAATTGTGAAGAGTCTCAAGTGTTACAAACGGTTTAACTCTTTTAATAATTCCAATACCGGAGGCAACTTTTTTGCATATTGAGTCTATATGCTTTTCCCAGCTCATTTTTTCATCTAATTCAAGCCCCAAACATCGAAAAGATGAATATCGAGTAACAGATTTATCATTTATCATCACTTGCTGATTTCCAATTTTATTTTTCAAATTATAAGAGGATCCAATAAACATTACTTTTGTCTTTTTTGTATGTAACTGTAATTTATTGTGAGAGAGCCAAAGGACAATATTTTCTAAATCCTGGTTAAGTCTTGCTATTAACTCCGAGAAGCTCAAGGAAGATGCATATATTTCAGTGTCATCAGCGTACATGCCAGGAGTTGTATTTTTCAGACACTCTGGGAGATCATTTATATAAAGTAAGAACATAAGGGGTCTCAAAATAGATCCTTGAGGAACTCCGCATATAATTTCCTTAGCTAAAGATGTGTATCCATCCATGCACCATACAGGTTTGGCTTTGAATTAAATCATTACGCTTTGTTTATATGATTTTTGAAATATATTTCTCATTCTTCGCGTTTTGTACAATATCGTGAACGTAAGAGATCATTAAACATTTGATGCAAACCATGAAACTGTTTTAGTATCCATTTAACGTCCTGATCATTCTGTTTGACCTGTTCCAGAAGCTCGAGGTCTGCAAGTTGTACGGCACGCACTAGCGTTGGATCGACCAATATGGGGTACATTGCAGCTGGGTCTTCGACCAGGTGGGGTGAAGAATTGGTATAACTATTTAGGTTAGAAATTCCATTTTCTAAAGCCTTTGCAAGATGTGTGTTCGCTGATGCAGTCCTAAGAATCTCCAAGTTGTACTTCCCCTCGATCAAGTGAAGGGATAATGGCTGAATATCGGTTGCTTTACTCCTGGCAGGTTTGGTGCTCCACACATTTCCGCTGTTCAATTTTTCTTTCACCGTTGCAGCTCCATGATAGGAAAAGGCTATTGTGTCTGTCGCTTCGTTGATTTTGGCTCCGGCAATCTGATGATAAACTAGACTGATTTTCGTGGTTTTGTTTTCATCCGAATTGGTTATGGTTATGTTGCCAGGCTCCATGAAAAAAAAGATAACATGCAAGATATCCTTGGACATCCTTCACCATCTTGCCCTGCTTGCTCAATGTAAAAACCAGTGTAAGCTGTGATCTGTTTTATTGTAGCAGTTACAGTCTTAGTTCCAAATATTTGAATATACTGAAACCCAAGAAGGATTCTTCCTTGTAAATCAAATTCCTTGCCAGTCAGTCCAACAGGGGTATTAAGTAACATTTCAAAGACTGATCTTAGGCCATCACTGAAAGTTACCAGTATATCCAATGTAAGGCCATCAAATTTGGATTCTTGCAATAATGAGGGGCAAGCTTTAAAGAATGCCATTACTCCATCTTCACTGAATGCTAATTTTTGCTCTTGACAGGATGATTTCTTTGCAACCTTTGCCAGCTGTTCATACCATTCTTTTTTCTTTTTATATCTTTGTTCTGCTATTACACCAATCCTCCGTCCAATTGTTTCAGCTGCTCTAATAGCCCTGTGCATCACAGGTGGGTAGAAATATCTCAAATCTGTCCCAGTTAAGTTTTTTTCCCATTATTGCCAAAGTGTTCTTTGGCAAACTGCCTTCTGTTAGATGGCGTGTCTTTTTTGTCCTGGAGCCAAACTGGAACAATTCCTGGTACTTATTTGTTTCTTCAACTGTCCATACAGGTTCTTCAAATAACAATGACATGTCACCAAGTTGCTGTACATGTTCTGGTGCTTCGGGAATTGGGTATGCAGAACAGGCTGATGATGATCCACAACTTGATCTCCGTGTCTTTCCATCAGCCACAGTACGGCGAACAACTTCAAGTTTCTTACCAGTAATTGGGTGTAAAATGGTTTTCAATGAACTTAACTGTTCATAAACTTTCTTAGCACACACTGAAGCAATCTCGTAGCTGTCTGACCCTAGCCACAAACCTATACACAACAAAGTCTTTTTATTTACTTAGCATTCATAATTTAACCAGGAAGATTTATGATGAATTTAGGGGGGGGGTCATAATTTCTCAACCCAGCTGTTTTATGAAAAATTACTTAAAATTATGGCAGAGAGGTTTTGTGCTAAAATTTGCAAATTATATAACCTGCTCATATAAATTTGTAAAAAGTAAACATACCAGCCTTTATAACCAAACTCAGCAGATTATGAGGTTCAACAATCTTGATTTGAATACTGGTTTCTCCTGTATAAAAGGCTGACCACCCCATGAAGCAGTATTCATCCATATAGTCATAAATGATCATTTTGTTGTTTGGAAATTGAAGTGCATCCTGTACCCCTGGTTGCTTGAGCAGAAATTGCAGGTGTTTGGCTACATCTGTATAGGCTGCAACAATCCCATTGTTGCAAATGAAGTTGAGGCCTATTTCTTTTTTCAGGATTTCCTTTGTTTCATTTAGTTGATGAATAACAGTTGCTTTTGGTAGGAAAGGGTTTAATCCGATTTGGTTAAAAAGTTTTTTACCCCAGTGATTCCTTACAATATCCTGGTATTGTTTTTGACTGATAGGCAGGCTAGAAAGGAGGCCAACATTCATCTCTATAAAAGCTTCTTTGTATTCAGCCTGAATTTTTTGCATCATGACTTGTTTACCAACGTCTGATTTTACGATACACTCTGCTGCTAATACTGGCTTCAGTTTTATAAGTCCAATAAACTTGGCGTTGTCAAAACTGCTGCAATTCCAGTCATCTATAAACCAAGAGTAACCTTTGGTTTTGCTTGGGACAAGTATATGTGTTTGCGAAATTATTGTGGGTTTTCTTACAAGCGAAACTACAGGATATTGTTCCAAAGCCTGGTTGTACAAATCTTGCAACTCTTTTTGTATAATTTTAGTGAATACACCCTCTTTGTCAACATTATATCTCCTTGAACAGCGACATATCAGAAACTTCAAAGTGGGAATAACCTTAGCAACAATTGGAAGAACGGTTGTCTGCAACTCCTCGTCTGACAACTGACTTTAGAAGTTCTTTTATGCGGCCACGACGATGATACTGGTTGCAGTTTTCGAAAAACACTTTACATGTCTCTTTTGCGTTGCATGGTTTAGTTGTTTTGACACTTTTATGTTCAGGATTCTTTTTCTGGTGTCGACATAAATTTGCTTGTTTGGAGTAACAGTTCGAGCAACCTTCGCAAGAAAACCTTTTTTTTCAGACATCTAACAGAATTTTACAGAAACTCGGAAATGTTTTAATTTTTTAGTAGATCATAAATGCACAACTCGTATTAGTAAGAAATTGAATTTCGCGCCATTCTCGCGCCTTTAAACCTTTGCAAAACCGCTGAAATTTTTTTCCTGGCCAGTGGACACATGATAACTCAATATTGTCATGACGTCACGTGACGTCATAATTTCAGATCAGCTGGCAGTAGTGTATCTGCCGTTGGCGCCTGTCGATTTGTCCCGCTATGCTAATATTTTGGTGTTCACTGACTGTGAAAACAATAGATTTCTAAAGACATGAACAATTATAATAACTCGAAACTTACAAAGCGGGGCAAAATCGTCAGGCTGGTTACGCCACTGTTAGATAGTTAAGTTGTTTTTGTTAATAGTCTGTAGAACTGCTATACTTACTGCTATACTGGATGATCGATTTTTGTAATTCTCCCTAGTACTAGAAAACGATTACAGCTGTTCAATTCCATAAAAAAAATAAGTGACGTGTAGATGTGTAGTCAGGTTATTGCACTGATGCAGCCCGGGTTCACGGAGTATTAAAGCTTCGCAGTATTAAATACTTACGTGGTGCACCTACAAGCTAATTTACTTAGCCACCATATTAATTGAAAAAAGCAAATTTCTGCATGTATTGCATTACAACATGCTATACGGCGCCAACGATCAATCAGAATAATTTCTGACTTCGCTTATCTCAGACCCAGGGGGAACGCGAGTTCAGCTGAACAAGATTGGGAGAACCGCAATTTTTTATTTGTGCAGGAATAGACGTACGGAAAATCGAAATTATAGCGTCTGAAAAACTGGAAATGGTTAAAGTTATTATTTGACTTTTGCAGTTATCATGACATGTACTATACGGATTTTCCCATTAGTACAAGCTTCTTTTTATTTTCATGTTTGGAAAACGTACCTTAAAACTGTTGTCTACTTGTTTTGTCTTTATTTTTTCGACTCCCTCATTGGTATTGGATGCGGTGGGTTTTCTCTCATCTCCGGACTCGCTACCTTTGTTATCTTCTTGTCTTTGGTTAATATCTGTTCCCTGAAAATTTCTGCTATTTTCATTTGAATTTTTACCTGGTTCTATTATTGTTTCAATTATGTTGTTGGGCTCACACGCTGTCATCTTTGATCCATCTCCTTTCTTATCGCTTTCATCAGGGATTTTAGAATCATTGCCTGGCCGCTTTGTTTGCTGGCTATGTTCTTGCATATGTTGTTTAACCACTTCAGTCGAGGGAATATCTTCACGTTTGTCGAAATTGTTTTTGAATTCTGTTTTTTCGTCAGCACGCTGGGATCCCTGCTGGTTACCAGTGTCCCTCAAATCATTCTCCAAAGGAAGCTCTTCACTTTGCAATATTTGTTTCTTTTGTTCGTTCAATGGACCGGTATTGTCGTTTTCCGCAGAGCTTTGTGCAACTACACTCTCGGGATGTTGATGGTCAACAGCCTCTGAAAAGGCGGATGAGTGTTTCGCACTTTCTACTAACGTTTTTGCAACCGCCTGGTCTTTTACCACGTTTTTTTTTATTTCTGGGATTTCGCATGCGTTAACAACCACAAGCTTTAAAGAGGCACTTGGTGAAGTTGTACCTTTCTCACCAAAATTTTCACCTGGTAAAACATTTACTGACTGCGCAGTGAGCTGTTGTGACATTGTTTCAGCCTGACCCGTCTCGGTTACTTCGACAAGAACTTGTTTTACCTCAGCAATATCACTAGAGATTACAATATCACGGTCGACTGCCTGCCCTGCTTCACCAGATTCTGATACAGGACTTTTAAAATTTTCACCTGGTAAAACATTTACTGACTGCGCAGTGAGCTGTTGTGACATTGTTTCAGCCTGATCCGTCTCGATTACTTCGACAAGAACTTGTTTTACCTCAGCAATATCACTAGAGATTACAATATCACGGTCGACTGCCTGCCCTGCTTCACCAGATTCTGATACAGGACTTTTAGAAGGGATGATATCTAAAACATTTCACAGCATTAATGAAGTAGTACATGAATAATATATACTGGACTGGGTGTCCTGAAAAAAATAATGTGATTCAAAATAGCTTCTTAATGAGTAATGCCATCAAAATGAAACCTATTTTATTAGTTAAAAGACAGATAAACTCAGATCTTGATTACTTTTCAAAACCGTTACATTATTTCGGAATGTCTCTAAAATATGCAAAATACGCTGAATAAAAATATTTTTAAAAATTAGCTTTGCTCAACCAACGCCCTATTAACAGTGAGCGAAACAGTTTGAACCAATAAAGTAAATACAACTGGAACGATAACTCAGGGCGGGAATTGAAACCAGTGCTTTTTACTTTTTACGAGTTAAGAGCTGAGATACTTGACGCCAAATGTTGAGCCGTATATGAAATTAGAGCAATTTAAAAGTTATCTTTAGTGTAAAATTAAATTTCGAGACGTTAGCGTAAAGGGAAATATCTTAAAAATATTTGAAAATTTCCCGGTTTTTTGCCGGTTGGCAATTGTTTTTGTTGTTTTTAAATATTTCCATTGTAGTTTAAGTTTTGAAACTTCAGAAAACTATTTTAAGTTCAAGCTAACATAGGGATATTTGTCAGGAGTTATCGTTCCAGTTGTATAGAGTTCACTGGTTTGAACTGGTCAAACAACGCAGGAATGTGAGAAAAGTGGTACGAACGTTTTAGAGAGAGAGAGAGAGAGCGAGAATTTGTGTATTGTTTGTGGTTTTGTTTTATTAAATATTATTCAAAGTGAATATCATTCAAGTGAATATTAGTATACCGGCACGAGTTCGGTACATTATGGTGCCGTGACCAGGATCGAACAAAGAAATACGGATAGAGTTGAAAGCGAGAAATTGACGATAATTTCATAGGAGTTAAAATTCAACATGGGGGAACGAAGAACAACAAATAGACGTCAGTACCGCAGTGCTAGTGAAAGCCACTCAGGAGGAGAAAAATTTACCTGCATCGAGTGAAGTGCCAAAAATCATAACTGATTTACCTTTACTTTTATTATATCAACAATACACCATTGATCTACACTTCTATAATATCTGACTTCGAGTGCCCCTTCTTTTATTATCATCCCTCTACACACGTGTGAGCGTGTTATGTGATATGTCTGTTCGCTCACAGTTTCAAATATGCTAATTAAGTCTCCTTTATAGTTAATTAATGCGGCTTAAAAATGAAGAGTTTAAAATTGGAGGAGGAAAAGGCTATAAGAAAAATGGAGAAAGAAGAGTTACTGCGCCGACTGATACAGCAACAGGAGAAAGAACTGTGGGAAGGCAGAACCCGCAGGGGCGGAAAAAAGTTTCAGAGAAAGAGGCCAAAACAAGTAAATCTAAACTTCCGGGACAGAATATAACGCCCGTTAAGGGAACTTTGGCAGACTGGATAAGGTTTGAGAACATGTTCGTATCGCAGGTTGACAGCAAATCTATCTAAGATGCAAAGAAATTTGGATACCTGTTGGAGCTCGTCAATCCAAAGATTAAAGATAGACTTTCCAACTTGAAGCCGGAACCCGAAGGCTACAAAATGGCGTGGGAACGGATGAAGGTGCAGTATGGCCACAACAAGTTGGTTACTGCAGCCCATGAGGAAGAAATTATCAAGCTTAAAGCAGTCAAAGGGAGAAATTACGAGAAGGTATGTCATATGTGAATTTTATGAAACTCTTTGCAAAAACTGTGATGCACCTGTAACATTGGATGAAGAAACCATGTTGAAAGGTTTAGTGGTCTCTACCCTTAACAAGCTCCCCCAGCTCAAGCCTGATTTGGTGCGCATGGTTTACAATTGGGAGGACTGGGAAATGAAAAAGCTATTAGTTGCAATACAGGGGTGATTGAAACGTAATAAAACTGAAGAAATTACCAATAAGGAGCACGATAACCCAAGGAAAAGGGAGCGAAATTGGTATACACGGAAGGGGGGAGATTCCAATAGCAAAGGCAAAAGCCCGGTTTGCATCTACTGTGAGGGACAGCACTGGGGGGTTCAATGCACGTCATACGACTCAGTAACGAAGCGTAGACAGTTTTTCCTTGAGAAACGCCTTTCTTTCAATTGTAACCGAGCTGGTCATTGCAAAAGTAAATGTCGTAGTACAGGATGCTACAAATGCAAGGGGAAACATCACACCAGCCTTTGTGATAAACCACCAGAAAACGGAGATAGAGGTAATCACAACGCAATGTTAAATGGATATTCCCCATCCTCAGAGGAGAAGTCCATAGTTCCCCTAAAGATTAAAGGGAAGACGTTTTGGGCGTATCTAGACACGGGTTCGGGAAAGAATCTTATCTCCAAAGAAGCAGCACTCCAGTTGAAGCTATCACCACAACGCCATGAGAGAAGAAACGTCCTGACGGTCAATGGATCAAAGACGACGTCGATGCTCGTGTTTGAAGCAACAATCAACGCAGTTGACGAACGAGCGAGTGCGACCGAGGGGAGCAGGATCAGTCGAGGGTATATGCAGAGTTTTAAGAAAACATCGTTAGGTAAGAGTATGGAAGATACAAAGTATCTGTCTTATGGAGCCCAGCAGAAAAAGACTTAACAATGTCAGCAGGAAATTGAATCGGAATGAACAACTAAAAGAGGAGTACGAAAAGATTGTAAACGAGCAATTGAAAGATGGAATTATCGAAAAGACCGAAGAAAGTCTCTCAGCGAACGCGTGTTCTACATGCTGCACACATGGCCGTAGCTAGAAGCTTAATTGAAGGGGGGGGGGGGTGTATATTCATAAATTCATCTTATGCCCGACTGATTTCTTTTGTACGCTATTGTTCCTGCGGTAGATAATTATGAATATATGAATATACCCCCCCGCCCCAATTAAGCGGTCTAGCTACCGCCCTGGCCGCACAAGCCCGTGGTTAAAGAGAATCCTCTATGACGAAACTGAGAACGGTATTCGATGCCAGTGCCCGACCCCAACACTCTTGCAAATAGTGTCAACGAATGCATGCACACTGGTGCCCCATTGCACATATTAATCGGACATATTAATCCGAGCCAGAATGTCAACCCATCTACTGCTTGCAGACTTGCAGAAAGAATTCTTGCAGGTTGGCTTGAAGAACGACGACCGAGATGCGTTCCGGTTCCTATTTAACATCAATGGTATCGAGGCACATTTAAGATTTACCCGCATACCTTTCGGCGTTGAGGCAAGTCCGTTCATGCTCGGCGCCACGCTACAACACCACTTCGATCTACAACGAGAAGGGTACGGAAACACGGCGTGCTCTGCAGTGACTAACGCAGCTATTGAGTCAAGGGGCTTCTTACATTAAAGTCCAGAATTGTATGAAATCGGACGCGAGAAATCGCGGAAATTACAGTTGAAGTAGGCATTGTTTGGAAATATTCCCCGTCTGAAGATATTGACAAGTGGCCTTGAGCCTGACAAGTGGCCAAAGCAACCGAAGCCCGAGAGAACGAAAAGTGTCGTAGAAAAACAGAAGCCTTTGATAGAAGACGTTTCTCAGAAAGCTCTTAACGAAAGGGACTGGTTGCCTTCTGACTACTACTGGAAAACCCTCCGTGTCACGGCATGCGTATTGCGATTCAGCACTAACGCCAGACCAAAAATACGATGAACAAACGTGACGAGAGGCCCATTGACGACAAAAGAGCTCGAAGAATCAAAGGCGCGATAGGTAAAAAAGGCTCAAATGGACATGAGTGTAGAGTTAAAGGCGCCAGGTTGGGAGGTTGTGCTCAAATGCAAAGGCCGAATTCCTGTATATCAGCCAATTTACTTGGAAGGGGGAGATTTCGCGGATAAATTAATTACGCATACACACAACGAGATCAATCACTTTGGTGTTGCGAACACGATGGCCAAGCAACAGCAACCTGGATTAACAACCTGGATTAGAAAGATACGCAAAGGAGAACGGCTTCAAGATTACTTGGCGCGACAGCAAATTAGTTGAAGTTCAGTCTCACAAAAACCCCTTAGTGGGGTGCGATGTATGAACGTTTACTTAAAGATATAAAGAAAACATTAGACAAGGTGTTAGGATGATTGACCTTGTTATTAATTTTGATTAACTGGAAGCATTGTTATTGATGTAGAAAAGAATGTGAACAACAGGCCGCTTATTAGGTGGAACGTGAGCAAGAAGAAGAACAAGTACTCACTCCAAACACAATTTTGTGGGGACAAAATGTTTACACCATTGACGAGTAAGACGCCGATGATGATGATGAAGTTTTGAAGTTGAATAAACGTGTAAAGCAGAGACGACAACATGCGTGGCAAAGATGGAAAACAGAATACATGCACAGTTTGATGGAACACCATCGGGTCAACAAGGGAGGTAATGCTTGTCCGGAAGTCGGGAAAATCGTCTTGGTGCTTGGCGAAGAAAATAATCGGGCGGAATGGAGAAGAGGAAAGGTGGTGCAGCTCATCAAGCTGGGAAAGATAACGTGGTGAGAGAAGTAAAGATTCTGACGAAGGGACATACTATTCAGAGACCGCTTCCACTTATTTGCTCGCTGGAACTTAAGCAACCTGAAGTGCTGGAGGTAAACCAGACCGAAGCGGATGAGAACCCTGCGAATGAAGAGCAAAAAAGCAAAAGACGAGCAGCGAAAGGACAGAACAGAGAATACGACGATTGATGATCGATGAAGAAGATTGACGTACATAGGACTTAAACTTATTATGTGACATTTTTGACATTGTTTGCATGTTGAATATAAAATATAAAACATTAAATTTTAGAGGGGAGTGTGAGCGAAAAAGTTTGAACTGGGTGACTGTGTCATTCGGGCCCGTGCGCGGGTTTGAACAACGCGAGAATGTGAGAAACGTAGTACGAACGTTTTAGAGAGAGAGCGAGAATTTGTGTATTGTTTTGTCGTTTTGTTTTTTTAAATATTATTCAAAATAGTGTGAATATTAGAGTACCGGCACGGGTTCGGTACAACAGTTAACATGCAAAACCATTACAAATTCTCACGATATTCTATTAATAAAGTCGGAATAATGTCCAATTATTTCCTTAACGCGAACAATGCTTGATAATTTTTTGCTATAGCTTACCGGTTTTTTGCATAATTTAGACATGCACGTTTAATATGCTATTCGCTTTGAACAGAATATAATTGTAATGCACCAAAAAAATATTATCAATCAAACGGAAGTATTTTGTTTTTGATACTCAGTACAAACAGTAATTTTTACTCCGGCGTCAGCGACGGAGTTGAAAATTCGCTTCGGTTTTTTATTATTTTTTATTATTATTATCTTTTATCGTCGCAAATGTGTTTTGGCGCGAAATATACTAGTATTTGAAAAGTGTATGTGACCGTATTTATCTACGTCACAGTTTTGTCTTCCAAGAGTTGTGGTGCACAGCTCAAAATCTAATTTTCCGATGCGCGATTTGATTTCGTCTCGTTTTAATATAAAACCCCTAAATCCTAGCCCCTTCTCATGTATGCATACACATGGTATACTGCAATTTAACAAAAATCCAGGGTATTTCGAAAGGAAAAGACCGGTTGTACGAAGCCAGTTAGGCTAAAGCATTTAATATGTCAGAAATAAATAATACTTTCATACATGTTTGGAAAGATGAAATATCTGGTATCTGGCTGGATAATCCGGTCGGATATATTTCAGATTTCCAGTCCGTATCCAGTGCACCCCTAATGTGACTACAATTATTATGATGACGTTTGACAAGAAGAAACAGACTCTCAGTGGGAGAGCATTTTAATCAGCTGCTTCAAAACTTTGGACGTTATGCAGGCAAATATTAAAAATGTAAGCAATGTATACAGGCGTTAAAAACCAAAATATTTACATGATTGGCTTTCAAACAAATATACATATGTTTCTAGCTCCAAACGATCGACCTTTAGAGGATCTTGCATACACAGTTATTACAGTACCTCTCTGTTCCTTTGCATTAAAAACCATTTCTTGGACGTTCTTGCCACACTCGTAGCAAAATTTATGTACGTTGGGATCAATCTCAGTGTTGCAGGTCGGACATAGGAGTTTTCTATTGTGATCTAAGAGTAAAGGAAGAAATTGTAACTAATGTGACAGGAACTGAAATGAATTATTTTATATATCTCAGCATAACATATTAACCAAATGGTGGCAAGTTGTTTTTGTCAGTAGTTGCATAGTTTTGGACCAATAGACACTTTTTTTTTCATGACTCAGAAAGTTGACCTAGGCTATGTAAATGCTAGAAGTGCTTTGAAAAGAGTGAGTACTTAAAGTGCGGGTGCTAATTCTGGTTTTGGCACCTTGATTTATTGAGTTGTGTGTTATGATTATTCATTCCAAAAATAGTTATCACAAATGAAATACACATCATAGAGATTTTGATAATCCTCGAGCCGGTGCGGAGCACCGTGCTGTGCGAGGGTACTAATTCCGCCCGGAGATTAGGAATCACACCCGGAACCCGGGAGAACATAGCGGAATCCAAAGTTGTCCAAATTCTATGTCATGGACGGTAGACGTTCAACCGTTTTGCCAGTTATGCGCATGAGCGAGTAACGACTGGTAATCAACAACGTTCTAATTGGCTATGACGGAGGGTTTGTATTTCAATGAAAACGTCAGCAATTTAACTGTTATTCGTAAACTCTTGAGTAAAAGCGTTTCGAGCACCCTGGTGGGGAGGGCAATTTGAACGGCTCATCGGGTTGTTCAAACGTGCCTTCCACAAAGTTATCGGCAACGGTATCCTCACGTTCGCGGAATTGGAGGATGTCGTCCTAGACGTCGAGGTAGCGCTCAACAACCGCCCTCTGACCTACCTAGAGGATGACGTGGAACTTCCAGCCTTGACGCCCAATTCCATGTTGAACATCAACCCAGTGAGTCAAGTACCCGAGCTAAAAGCGAAGAAGTTGGAAGAAACGGATCTTCGGAAGCGAGCAAAATTTTTAAAAATGTGCAAACGAGCTATGTGGCGCCGTTGGTCTCAAGCAGGGAAACAAGCGACATGTCCGAGGAAAGGGACAGCAGTCATCGTGCACGATGAAAACAAGAATCGGAACACCTGGAAACTGGGGATAGTCACAGAGATTATTAAAGGCAAAGACGGCGTCGTGCGGGGAGCCAAGTTGAGAACAGCTAATGGCGAGTTGGAACGTGCTGTGCAGCAGTTGTACCCCCTCGAGCTGTCCTGTGACGACACCAATTTCCGGAAACCCAACCCAAATGCCCCAACCTTCCAACCTAGAGCCACCAGAGACGCGGCGGTCGCTGCAAGGCTACGGATACAGACCACAGCAGAAGATGATAGTAATGAACTTGACATTTGAGCTAACGTTAAAACATTCAGATATATGCATAGAAATATCACTAGAAAATTAATTTTATAGCATTTAGGGAACATTGGAACGAAGTCTCAATTGAACATATATCGCCTTACGGAGCTATATGGAGAAGTGTGTTGGAGACTGACAGACATTAATTAAGTAATTTGAGTAGCGGTTAATTGTGGGGAAATTAGGTTAGTTATTTGAATCCAATCAAACGTGTTAGTGCGACTGTGACCACGATGGTGAAAGGGTGTGTGTGATTATTGTGAGACATGCGATTGAACTTTATTAAATATCTTTATTATTGTTAACCTGGGACTTGTTGAGGACTACGTAGTTTTGGGGGCAAACATTCTCGACACTTGTAGTTGTAGTGTAAAAATAATTAATCGTTAAACCCAATAAGGCAATATGTCATGCAAAACAGCTAACTTGCTGAAGTTCATTTTTTTTATACACTGCATATGTTAGGCACAACCAAGCCTGGTATATAATATTTAAGGGGAGAGATTTTTTAGCCACATTATATACATTATCCTTTTGACCAATTTTATAAAGCAGTGGCACTCATTTGCCCATGATTAATATATTCGCAGCATGTCAATTGCATTTTCTAGCGAATCAGAACTTTGAACTAACCACAAGTAACTGCATTATTAAATATATAGGATTATAGCACCAAATTAATACTGCATGTGGCCCAGGATGAAGGAGATGGAAGTATATATACTGAATTGAATAATTGCTTTAATTATTGAAGAATAAAGACTTTAGTTGGTACAAATAATACAAAATTACGGTTGCGTTAATTGTTATTAATTAAGGCATTTTGAATTTGAAACTAGGCTAAATTATTCTGAGTTACTGTAAGTCTGCCCCTGTAATTATGTGTTACATTGGTCAAACATTATGTGTTACATTGGTCAAACATTACGTGTTACATTGGTCAAACATTATGTGTTACATTGGTCAAACATTATGTGTTACATTGGTCAAACATTATGTGTTACATTGGTCAAACATTATGTGTTACATTGGTCAAACATTATGTGTTACATTGGTCAAACATTATGTGTTACATTGGTCAAACATTATGTGTTACATTGGTCAAACATTACGTGTTACATTGGTCAAACATTATGTGTTACATTGGTCAAACATTACGTGTCATGTTGGTTAAGTTGCATTTAAGTTGCATGCAAAGCCATGCATGCAACCATGGTGGTGCCATATACACAACATATCCTCTCTAGCTGCAATGTTAACGAACTTTGAACACTTATGTTATCTTACATGGACTGGTATGCAAACCCGAAGTAAAGTAGACGTAATTTAAACATGATTCTTGACTAGTTGTACATTGTTTAGCTTAAACAGGCTTCAAACAAGCCAAGTATGCAGGATATAACACAGATTGGCTAATGTTATTTATAAACTTTAGATAATTTTTAGAAAATTACTTTTGTATTATCCACTGAAAAATTGGAGTGTGACATTTTTAGGGCGAAACTTCTAAAATTGAAATGCCCTTTTGAAAAGAAGAAATCAACCCCTTTCCCGGATCCTGTTCACTGGAACAGCGGAGCCTGTTCAAAAGTGGCAGGCTGCATTGCGCAGGGGGGGGGGGTCAGGACAGAACATAATGGCAATTTTAGACCAAACTCAGAATTAAATCATATAATTTTTGTTCAAAAAACTGTCGCTTTTAGACCCCTGTCCAGCAGTCCGTGCTTCAATGGCCAACTAAATGTAAAGACTTGGATAAGTTCATTGAATTTAAAATAAAACTAGCCTTGACAAATTACACCACCTCATTTCATGAAATATTAAATAGCCCAATTCAAAACTATCTTGATTACAGCAAGTTGTTTCAGCAAGACAATATTAATAATGAAAACGAAACAACGTAGTCCAACTAAAATAGAGAGCTCATGATGATCTGTGCGTTCGCTCAGCAAAATATGTTCAATGATGTGACGATATGGGAGAAGATCGGTTTAAAACTACATCAAAAATATAAACTAACAATTCCCATCAGAGGATATCTAGAATTATATTATTATTTTATCTATTATCACAACACGCAATGCATGTTCTGATGCTCACCTTTGAGTAATTACATACACTGGTAAAAGTTGTTCGCGCTATTGCATACTAGCAACGAAATACCTACCATTTCTGTTCACCTCTGTTTCGTAATCAAGATTGTCGGGTATAGAATTCGAGGATAACGAATCTTTTGAAGATGAGCCTTGACATGTTTGTTTACCGCCGCTCGATACAGAAATATCCTCGCCTTGTTGCTCAGCGCCACTAGGAACTTCCTCCATATCACTTTTAATACGAGCAAGCCGCCTTCGAAACTTTAAACGTATATTGTCTACATTTGAATGATATTCCTGATTCCTCTGCTTGCTATTTTAATAATTTAAAGCTCCTCCATGAGTGATCAAACTCATGTATCAATAGATGTCAAATCGAAACTGACCACAATCGTATACCTGGAAATAGAGGGTTTTCCCGGAACTGCTTCCCGGAAGTTGGCATTACCTCTCTTAACTGATCTCTATAACTGTAATACGATAATTACTATTGAAATTTGAAAAGGATATCTTGCTGGAGCTGACTGTTTCGTTGAGTTATGTTAAGGTTTAAAGTGAAAAGACACTACTTTTTAGTTGCTTTAAGAGTACTAGAATAATTAAATATGTTTAGTAGTTTATAGCTTACCAGAGATGACGCATCTATATAGTCGCATATGATTCACGTAAGCACATGGTCTAGTTCAAGGACAAAATATTATTGTCTGCAGTCTGAAGTTAATGCTATAACCTAAGGAACAACCTGATAAATGCTAACCGTAAAAGATTTGATTGTAAAAGGCTTGGATTCGTGAACAGAAGTAACTAAGTTTAGATTAACATTTAGTACTAGAAATACATGCATGCAAAATCTGCAAAATCCCCTCGCCTGAAGGCCTATATTTCCATTAGTGAAATTCTATAATACTCGTTTCTGCTGAATGATCGAAGTCGTATTTCTATATATATTTAAAATTCTATATCAAGTACAATTAGAAAGTCGACTCTCCAGCTATCACATTCAACTATAACGTAATTCATTAATTGTACTACGAATAGTTTTAAATACTACAATTTTTAGCGAAATTTTAATTCCTTTTTAAACAGATTCACCTTTAAAAATAAATGCTTTCCTAATCAAAATCATTTTAACGAAATTGACGAATAAATTCAAAGAGGTGTCCTATGTTTGTTGATAAATCTACAAGTCAAACTTACGAAATACTTGCATGCTCTAATATACAAAATCTACCTATTTACCTGCGCAAAAACACTTTAGAAATGCTTCAAAATCGTAGATTTTTCACCATCTATTTGAATTAAAGTTTTTCTATCTGAAAGCATAATTTACTTTACATTTTAATTAATTTTACGTCGAGTGAATTTTTCCGTATATAATTCAAAATATCAGTTATGCTGACGCGACCAAAATTTTGATTTAGTCAATCGCACGCTTGCTGCTTGCAAACGTTTGTTAGTTACCAGTTTTAACTGGTCTTAAACTAACGCATGCGCATAACTTACAAAAACGCCCAACGTCCATGACATAATGGCGACCAACTTTCATTTCGCATTTGCATTCCAGGGTGTTATTAAAAGCCCGTTTACACTACACTCGATTTATTGGCACGGCACGGCTAAAATGGGTACCCGTACCCATTTCATCTGTGCACGGCCTTTGTTTTGGCAGTCTGTACACTAATAAAATTGGGTACGGGTACCAATTTTAGCCGTGCCGTGCCAATAGATTGATTGTAGTGTTAACGGGGCTAAAATCGCCGGGCGGAATTAGTACCCTCGCCCGGTGCTTCGCATCGGCTCGGGAATTATTATTTGTATTCGCTTGTTAGTGTTAATTTTAGACATTTTACACATTTAGATCGAATTAGATTTATCATTTAAGGCGGATTTCCACTTACAGCGAAATCATTCGCTAGCGAAATATTTGCATATTTTCTTTTGAATTGAGAACAGTCAAGTCGAACTAATTTATTTATACTGTTAAAATTCAAAAGAAAATATGCAAATATTTCGCTAGTGAACGATTTCGCTGTAAGTGGAAATCCGCCTTTATACGACACGCAAATCGAGCCTCCTGTTTGGTTAAAGTTCTGGCGAACCATATCATTCGATTTCTGATACTTCATTTCGTTCTAGCGCACGTATATAAGGATGCGAGCGACAGCCCCAGTGAGAAGTGCGCCTCAGAGACAAGGGGTACATCAAGTTATGGGACAGGTAAATAAGGAAATGTTGGATATGCTCGAGTTCTAATCATTGGGTGGACCAATGTTACAAGTTTATGTCACCAAATGACCGTTTGAAGAAGGTAAAGAAAAACCATGCGTGTTTTAACTGCCTTAGACGGGCAGGAAGAGATCACCGCGCATCAAATTGCAGTCGAAGACGTTTATGCACTGAATTGGTCAATAATGCGCCGTGCAATAAAAACCTATACCCTTTGCTGCATGCAGGAACCAAGGATGCATTACTTCCAGTTGTTACAGCCTTTGTCGTCAGCAGAAGTGGAAAACGCAAAGAGGCAAACATGAAACATTCTTATAGACTCAGGTGCGCAAATTGGTTTTGTAAGGAATGACGTTGCTCAACGATTAAACCTATAAGGAAAGGATGTAACTATCACTATGACAACCGTTGGAGGACAAGAAGAAGAGATGAAAACCAAACTGTACCAAGTTATGATCAGGACCAAAGAAAACAACAGTTCTCTTTTCAATTAATGCAATTGGTATTCCTTGCATAAGTGATGAAATACCAAAAGTAGAAGAAATTGGAAAAAATCTCGGACTGAAGAAAAACGTGTTATGCCGTTGATCATGCAATAATGCACATTGGGGAAATTAATAAAGCAAGTCGGCAATCTGGTTGCTCGTAGTTCACTGTTGGGATGGCTAGTTTTCGGTGCAATGCAAAGTAATCTAGCAGCAATCAACAAAGTAGTACGAGTTGGAGTAGCCGCCCTAACTGAGATGGGTGAGTTTTGGTGAACCGAATCCATTGGAGTTGAAATAAATCCCTGCCTGTGCGAATCAAAAAATTTTAATCATGTTGAGTGTGAAGAGGGAAAATTGATTGAAAATTTGTGCACAAAATCCGGTAAATAGTGGATTATACTGTACATCTGGAAACGAGATCCATCACTACTTTCAAACAACAAACCCCAAGCGATCAAACGGTTAGAAGCAACGGAACGGCAACTAAGAAAAAACCCAGAACACGCTGAAGCTTACAACCAACAGATGAAAGAGATGGAGAAAATAAAGTTTGCCAGAAAGATCTCACCGAACGAGGAGAAGAACTACAGTGAGTTCCGGTCCATTACATCAGTCACCTCGCTGTTATCAGACCAGAAAAGAAGAGCACACCACTACGAATTTTGTATAACTCGTCATCCAGCTACCAAGGACATCGTTTGAATGACAATGGCTAAAGGGCCCAGATTTGCTCAACAACCTGTTTGGAGTCATTCTCCGTTTTCCAGTGAATCCAGTCGCTATACATGGAGATATGTATAAGATGTACCATCGAGTACTTATACCTGAAACGGATCAACACGTACACCGGTTTCTCTGGAGAGATATGGCAGTCGATTGTGATTCCGATTAATCCGATACGTATGTCAAGATGGTTCTGACATTTGGCGACAGGCCTGCCCCTGCTATGGTCCAGATCGCAGTGAAGAAAACGGCTGGTGAAAATCAAAAATCTATCCAGAAGCAGCCAGCTCCCTGAGAGATAATTCATATATGGATGATATCTGTGATTCCGTCAAAGAAAGAGACGTAGCAAAGAAATTAACCAAAGACCTTGATCACGTTCTTTAGACGGGAGGGTTCATTGTCAAAGGACGCCGGATATCCAACGAAAAATTAACAGGATAACGATGACGACCACGAAGGTAGTGGAATGAAGATTCTTCAAGGTGAATGCACATGTACAGACAAGATAATGCACAGACAAGATACTTGGCGTAGCTTGGAACAGCAAGACGGACAGTCTGTCTTTCAAGATTAAAGCTGAAATGTCGAAGATAACAGCTGAGCAAGAAGAAAACAAGACGAAACGAACAATTCTTAGTTGTGTTGCTGGAATTTACGATCCAATTGGAATGCCTGCGGCGTTCATTATAAAGGCAAACGTTTGTGGCAATTAAATTGGGATACAACTGGGATGAAAAGTTACCTGTTGATGTTTGTAAAGAATGGAAGAGCTTCTTCGATCAATTTGAAAAGCTAAACAAAGTCGCCTTTCATCGACGTCTAACGCCTCCAAATGTAATAGGATTGTCAATTCTGTTTATTTTCCCTGATGCATCGTAAGAAGCATTCGGGACATGTGCATATAGTATATGTTAATAAGATGGGAAATTTGTGAAGATTGATTTGTGAAGATGAAACCAACAATCCAAGACATCGAGTAGAGTTTGTGCAAAAAATTGTCGACTCGTTCTGGAAGACGTTGGATGCACAGAAAAGAAATGTACGGGTAGATGATGTAGTCAACGTCGCTGATTCCAACGTAGTACGAGCAAATTGGTGCATCGGTAGAGTAACACAAGTCTACCGTGGTAGAGATGATGGTCGAGAAAGAAATGTCAAGGTGAAGACAGCTACCGGTGAGTACAGAAGACCAATAACGAAAATTGTTGTGATCCATCGAGCAGAGGATTATGAAGATTAAAGATGATATGATTATCGGGGGGGGGGGGGAAGGATGTTTCGCTGAGTTATGTTAAGGTTCAAATTGCAATAAGACACTACTTTTTAGATACTTTAAAAGCACTAGAATAATTAATTATGTTTCGTAATTTGATAGCTTACCAGAGATGACGCAATTTATAGTCGCATGCGCATATGATTCACGTAAGCACATTGTCTAGTTCAAGGACAAGATATTATTGTTTGCAGTCTGAAGTAAATGATAACCTAAGAAACAACCTGATAAATGCTAACCGGAAAAGATTTGATTGTAAAAGGCTTGGTTGGATTCGTGAACAGGAGTAACAAAGTTTAGATTAACATTTAGTATTATTATTTGTATCCGCTTGTTATTATTAATTTTGGACATATTTTATTACACATTGTATTACTACACAATCCGATCGAATTCTGGCGAACGTTAAAGTTCTGGCGAACTACTGACTGTTGATTCAAAGAAAAAAGGAAAGACCAATTGATCGAAAAATAACTAAGCTTTATCCTTTTACTTTAGCCTACAGGGTGTATCAAAATAAACGAAGCTACTTAATATTCACTTTGTGAGCTACTATTCGGGAACTGCTTATAAGAATTTCTATTGGTGTTTAATTGCCTATATTACTTCGACGCAGACCTGGCTATGACGGATGGGGCTGTTTGCATGAGCCCGGTTACCCAAAATTCACCCAACCACATATTTCAGATTTCGAGTGCAGGCCCAAATGACGACATGCCATTGACAAATAGCATTCAAACCTTGCAAATTGCAATATGTTATATTAACGGCATGTGATAGGGAATCCCGAAACATCGAGTTTGGATCCGAGTTCGAGTTCGAGTTGAAGTTCGAGTTAAATATTAAATTTCGAGTTACCCTAATCACTAATGAAGCAAAGTAATACACTAATATATACATGTCAGTGAATGTAATGTGTTGTAATCGTTTCCCGCATTTCCGGTATTTTCCGAGCTGCTCCGACTCTTGTTTATTTTCTGAAGTTCGGAACAACGTGCCTGAGCTCTGAGCGAAAGCCCTGAGCGAAATGGCGCAAAAAAGGTATGTAAATTGTTGAAAATTAAACATAAATATTTATCAGTTATTTTCTATTCGTACCCGTTGTCATTGTTTCTAGCTGTTTATGTCCGGTCTAATAGACTAAGTACAGTTACTGAGTTTAAAAGTCCTATACAATCCCAAAGGCAAACTAGCATAAATAGTTGGAAATATTACTTACAAGATTTCGCATACTGACTCTCGCTAGAATGTGTAAAGTTTTTCGTGCATGCTCATCTACGAAGAACTCCGTCATCAATATATACTGCACAGTCTACCTTGTAATCGACCTCTGGAGAAATTTCCAAAAAGAACACGGATTTGTAGATATTTCGGAAATGTGCATTATATATAGAGGTAGCCGCTGCAAAGGAAGTGGCGTTGAACACAGTAATTTTATGGTTGTATATTAGCCCTTCTCCCAGTGGCGTAGGAAGAGGGGGGCACTGGGGGCACGTGCCCCCCCAAGATTTTTCAAGGGACCAAAAGTGCCCTTTTTGGAAGCGAAAGAAACAAAAAAGTATCTACTATTTCCCAATAATCCTTAAATTGAGAGGGATTTGCGGCCATTTCAGAGGCCTATATCTCAAAATTTTCTCGGGGGAGCATGCCCCCGGACCCCCCTAGCAGTACGAAGCACCAAGAAATACGAAAAATGCTCTGCGGTCGGCGGTCCCTGAATCAAACCTTCCCTATATATATATTTTTATTAACCATTTTAACCGCCATTTTTATTAACCAAAAGTGCCCCTAGAAGCTGGTGCCCCCCCAACCTTTGGATGCTTCCTACGCCCTTGCCTTCTCCTATAAAACAAGAAAAAGCATTCGAAAAAGCAACTCGAAATTTAACTCTAACTCTAACTCGAAATTTAACTCGAACTCGAACTCGAGTCCAAACTCGAGGATACCTACCTCCCCATGTGATGGGGTGATTTTTTATTCTCCTAAATGGGTGTAACTGTTTAATCGCAATTTTTTGCGGAGTGGGGAAAATCTTTGGATTTAAACATTAATTTTTTCTCCATCCATTACTGTTATGATCATATATGCCACGCTTGGCATATTTAAAGTGCATATCAACCAATTTTTTTTATTTCATAAATGAGAAGTATAGGTGGCAAATAATGAGGATTCGTTTTGGTTTTTGATGATTTTATATTTTTCCATGTCTTTCTCTGACCAAATACTGCGAGATTGTGAATGTTGACCGTCAGATAAATAGTAATCGGAAAACTGGTACTAGTGCCGTAGCGCGAGGAGCCCGTGTTAAGCTTCGCGTACAAATATATTATAAATACGGTATTGCAAAGACTTGTACATAATAAATTTTAACTGATAATACTGCATCAACAATGTCTAAAACATCCTCTGACTCTGAAAATTACTCTATTCCGGATGATGATTCAAAATATAACTATTATCCGGGTAAATATACAATTATTGAAACGGAGATCATGGGGCCTCTAACGACGATGGCGACGAAGAGGCCAATCTACCTGAGGTTGGTCATTACGCGAACGAGCCTATAGCTGACGAGGAATGGCTCGATGATTACAGGAAAAGGCAAGAAGAAAAGGAGCGAAGGATAGCAGGTTTAAAAGACCGTCTATCTGGAAAGGAAAGCTTTAGTAACTGGTGTGTCTCCATGTATAATCTGTCATCTATATGTGAAGTATTAAAAGAGCACAAGTGATTGTTTATAATTTTCAGGTGTTCGTGTGGAAATTGTTCCACAGAGTTACTCCAAAACGAAAACGAGTGTGTGTGCTGCAGGGACTTTGAAAGATGTACAGAGGCTCTGTCAGATGAATGGGTTCTTGAAGCGATGCAAACACCACCGGAATGTATCACACTGCATCCGGCATTTGCAACAGTTTGCCTCGATCGATGGTCTTTAAGATTGTCTGCATCAAAATACAGAACAATTGATAAGAAGTCTTATCAACAAGCTGGGTCCGATGAAGCGTGAGTATAAAATAGAGTATTAGACATTTTCCTTTTTGGTGAACTAAAGTGAACATGTTTCAACTTTACCACAATGTGTAGTTTTAAACATTACTTTAATCTGTCATGCTGTAGACCACATACTTATTCAAATTTTTACAATCCTAGATGCAAGATGCCCGCTTGGCATTAAAGCTGCATCACGTTTAGCGGTGGCATTTTGATCTCTGTGTGATCTTCACGAATCAGGAATCAGGATGTCTTCCCTCGTGCAAATGCAAAATGACGATTCGTTTGTCAGATTAGCCTGCGCATCAGCCCTGCTTTGGGGTGGCAACCCGCAGGCTTGCAAGCACGCAATGCATTTAGGCTCGCAAGAAAGGAAAATAATACTATCCACTGCAAAACTATGAGCTGACATCATTCTGACGCAGCTAATAAAGCACGGATATATATTAAATATTCAGTGTTACAAGGGCAACCCCAAATCACTAGATTTTTGACAACGATTAGCGAACACTAAGAGGATAATAAACTTTAATGTTTGAAACGTACGTTCTTTGATCAGCAAACCAAAAGAGATTCAAAAAGTAAAAAACGAATATTTTGCTTTGATCAGCGATCTGTTCAATGGTTCGCAACGAGTGTTGCAAAATTGTTGTGTATGGTATGTGTGTTTTTCACGTTCCTATATAACAAGGAACTTGGGAAAACAAAACTCAGTATTTCCCTCAGGCTCAGGATTATAAGTGTATATTATTTTCACTTCTAATGTAATCATTATTAATTGTCGTATACTAAACTTATTAAATTTGCATTAGAGCAGGGTTATTGCTAAATATATTGACCTAGCTGTTTACAACAGTTTTTTTCTTTCATAGTCTTTTACATAGCCATTTTCTTCTGCTTTCATTATTTTCGTTTTAGGTGAGATGTAAGCGGCTAAATAGAACTTTCCAAACAGCAACAACATTGTAATCATGTAAAATATCGCTACAATAAGCATCCATGGCGGATAGATAGAACTACAGTCAGTTGCCACAACAAAGATCGATTGAAAAAAAATGAAGCAAAATTGGATCTATATAAGAAAGAGTAAAATGACATTAGAGCAGGTGGATTTCATTACAGTTGTAAAGGTGGGGTAAAGTCCGCAATGACTAATGTAAACAAACTCCTTGTTTACATTTTGAATTAGTGTTTTATCACTACCCAGAACTTACCATTTGAAGTTGTGTTAAATATTTTTTCCACCAGAGATATTTTCGCAATGAAGGGAACATACTAAGTCCATAATAAGTATACATAACCACATGAACGAAGGAATTTATTATGGCTGGAACGAATGCTGAAATAGCAAATAGAGTAATATGAAAGAAGTATAAATCTGCCTTATATTTCAGAAGCCAATTGTTTAAAAGACTAGTTAACTTTTAGCTGTAGTTAAGGACAGAATTGGCCAATCGTGCATGCAGAGTTGTGTTATTTCAGAGTTAACTAGGATATAACTATGCAAAGTGTAGGTAAAGAGTTTTATATAACCGGCCCCTGCAGAACACGCGAGAAACTGTTTTGTTATAAATTTTTGCCGAGAAAAATCGTATTTGCGAGAAAAATCGTATTTAAACGCACGTAAGTTAAATACGATATTTTGATGTGAGAAAATATTATTTCGGCGAGCTATTACAAAATAGCCCAGGAAAAATGTTCCACCGATCGCCTAAAATGTTACTAACGTACTACAACAGTCTATCTATACACGTGATATAACAACAACTTTTTTAGTACAGATGACTATAGGGTGTGTAAAAAAGGCAGCCACTTAATATTCACATTGTCTTTAATAACGGCCTCTATACGACTGGGAATCGAATTTAGGTGTTTGATTAGATAAGTTTATCATTTGGACAGTAGTTCCAAATTTTCTCAATTTTCTCGAACAGGTCAATAGTAGGGAGGAAAGAGGTATATCCAACAGTGCGCGTTCTTTTGCCAACCAAATATTTCCCACAATCGATTCAAATCGGGTAATAAGATGGGATTGTCAGGCAGATTATAATTATTACATCTACTCTTAAAAATACTCTAATTGTATATCATAATCACTCATTGTCTCGTATGTGACGCACATGATCCTCCAGGAATCCACTTTGCAGCTATCCACCATAAGATAAGTACAGAGGAATGATGGTACACATGAAGAAATGAAATCTGGCGTTCTTTTTTGCGCAGAATGAAAATTACCTGTTTAATTTTATAATAAAGATGGCGTTTTAATACATTCTCAAAATTTCTAAAAAAACAGGGCCTATTCTAAGGAAATTTAAATACTGCACACATCACTAGGGTACTTCATCTAAAGTGCAACCATAGTTTTGAAACATTTTGAAAATGCATGCACAGATCCTTGGAAAAGTAAAATTTATCTGAAATATATTGTCTTCTCTTAGGAATACTGCATACATTCCTTACTACACATTTCACGTGCACCATACTGCGCGCTAAAATAGGCCTCGCTATAATTTACCATGCAAATATTTGCAATTTTGCGTTTTATGCTAATTCAATTAAATGAATGTTCCAACTATAAAACTTCAGTAAAAAGCGCTTACCGTGTCAAGCATTTCAAAATATTTTGACAAATAATGCAACCAAATGATTCTTGCAATCTATATCATAATGGAAACGTATAGGTGGTTTTAAAAACACAGACATCATACTTTTTTACCAGAAAACAATTCACCCCTGGACAGGGCAAGTTAATTGGTGGGAGGTGCATGCAACAAGGGGGATTTCGTTTTGCGTGAAAAATGTAAAGGAGTATGCCGATTAGGTTAAAGTGCCTATATCACTTGTGGGATCTTTACGGATTTGAATAGAGCTTGAAAAATTAGTTTATAAGTTCTACAACCTTATTTGATATAATTAAATAGTTTCGAAAATACGTCGGTTGGAGGGAATGGGACTCAGGAATGATTTGCAAACACGTCGTCTTATATAATGTAAATATGAAGAGTTTCACTGGCGATATAGTTTGCGCTTTTCAAGAAAAAAATGCGGGAACGGTGCGTTGTGTATGGCTGTAGCAACTGGGCGAGTTTTTCTCAAAATATTTTACGTTATTGGAAGATCGAAGTGAAATTACAATTGACAAGAACTCGGTTCCTGAGTCCCAGGCCCCCGAGCACGACGGAAATTTAGGCAAATCGTCATGTATAGATGTAAATATTTCCGAAACTATTTAACTATACCAAAAAGGGTTGTAGATCGACTTATAAACTAATTTTTCAAGCTCTATTCAAATCCGTAAAGATACCACAAGTGATATAGGCGCTTTAAAAGAAATTCCTCCATGTTGGGGGTGCATATATTGATATATTCGTCTTCTGAATAAATATATGTTATTTACCAGACGGGAGGTCCGTATAGGGAAATATTTCCCTAGACGGACCGACTAAACTGGTAAATAATAGATTAATTTTTTTCTTGCATGCCGTTCGAATTAATATTTCAGCGTTAGCTCTGTGCTTTTAAATCTCGCGCGGTCCGTACGGCCTTATACGGACCGCTCGCGTAGCCAATAAGATTGCAGGAAACGCTAAAATATGAATTCGGACCGCAAGAAAAAAAAATTGATATCGTGCGGAGCCGAATCTAATCTACTGTGAGCCATTTTGTTGCTGCCTTCAGGCAGCTTTCCTATTCTTGCGGAAACTCTTCTCCAGACCTCTTTTCGGACGTATGTGGATTAGCGAAAGGAAACTTGAATTTTTGTCGGATAACGTTTACATTTTTATGACTTTTTTTACGTATTTCCGTAGAATATTTTTCTCGATGATTTATTGCTTTTGTAATTTGTACACCATATGAGAACTGGCTTAATGAGGATTAATAATAAGGAAATATATGTTTTATTCTGATATAATTACTGGGAGAGCAGCAAGGATGTAATAGCTATTTCTGGGATGCATCAATTAAATTCTCATCTTTTGGGCCTTGACTCTTACTGTAAAATAACTTATTTGATATATCCATTGGTGTGATAAATGTGGAATTAAATTAGGTTTATTACGTTTGTAAGTATACTATGTAAATTCTAATACATCTATGGTTGAAAGCTTTGAGGTATATTTCCAGACGAGTTATACGTATGTGTATTGAAATTTATTGTATTTAAAGGTAATATAATTAAACAATTCGATTAGGGAAGTCATATAATTATTTTTCAAATTTTGCTCACATGATTTTTCCCGTAAAATTACCTCCCATCTGCCCTCCCTTTGAGGCAGAACTTCACTTTCGATAGTAACGTCTAGTTTTATTCCCTACAAGTTATTCTAAAAGTTTAACCCAACTTGTGACGTCATCAAAACTTTAGTTAATGAGGCCGGAAAGTAATCCAAGATGGCGGACAATCAGCCGCTTTTAGTGAAAGTATTTCGTGAACAAAGCACTATATGACAAATGTGAAATACAACTTTTATCATAATTTTAATATCTCTTTCAAATAAGACACTAATAATACAAATTATTTTTTATTGCCCATACACCTTATTTAAGAAAGGACTATCTCATTGATCTGTGAGAACTGAGACCACAATTTATGCGTAATTTTTAATATGTGTGATTTGGGTGAGCATCTTAAATACAGGCACGAGTACGAATAGGATTCTAGAATTTAGATACAAGCCATAGTATTGAAATTTCTTACCTCAATTTCTATTGGCTTGTCAATCGAGTAGTCCACGGCTTGGCAGATGAAACTGTAATTTGCTTGCACGGTACTGACTAAAAGCTGACGTGCACATCAGAGATTAATATTGTGACGAACGAGTGAATTAGTTACGGATGTTCAAATATAGAGGAGCGTGCACATCATAGCATTCTCAACTTACTATTCGTTCGCATCTAAATCGCAGCAAAAATCGCAAGTGCAAACAGCTGTTTACAGTTTCGTAACATGTGCCTCTGAAACTCTCTTTATCAATCCTCTAATCTATATAAATCATGCATCAGTTTCTACTATAGTATACGTCAGCAATATATGACTAATCGTTGACTGAAGAACTAAATAGTCATCAGTCGAAAATCGTGCGGATGCATGTCGATCAATCAGTAATCAAAGCACTAACCTTTATAAACATGTATCCACTGCTAACGATTGCTAAGAAGTTGTATAGAATCATAGTAACTCTCAGTTGAAATGCCTGTTGATTTTTCATTATCCTTGGCCCAAGAATTACGACTACGATATAACACATGACTGCAAGAACTGGACACCAAATACTCTGAACAAGTGGCCAATCTTTTACCCGAGGATCTTAAAAATTCAAACATTCGATACATATATACATGCAGTGATTGTAGTATGTATACTCAGCGTGTAACGTGGTGAAGTATAAAAAAGAAATTAATTTAGGCGGGGTAATTGCTTCCACAGCCGTAGCGATCAAAATTTCATCGAGGATGTTTTCAAAGCAGGTTTTAGTCCCCTCAAAAATTTATCGACATTTGGGCCCTATAGTTGAAAACGTGCAGGCGCATATTACTTTATGTAAGTCGAGACAGAATCGTCTAATTCGTCTAATCGAGTTAACTACGAATAACTCGAATTATACGAGTTTTCTCGTACATAAAGTATCAATTGTAACAGAGTTACGTTCAGCCTTAACTTAAGGATAGTCATTCAAAGCAAAGGAAACTTCCGTTGTACCTCCAGTGCTTACAATATGAGATTGACATCTCGAATGCTTTCTCGCTAATTGACGTAATAAATTAGCAACTACTTGTAGCATAAATTTCTAGCAAGGAAATTGATAGTGTCGGACGTAAAATATATTTTATTGCAAATTTAGGCTCAAAATACACTTTTCCACCTCTTGACACTCTTCCTAGTCTTTTTGGAAGACAGTTCCAGCCATTAATAGCAATTTGTATTTAAGTCAGATTCAAATTGGTTTCATCCAATCAATGCATTTGAAATACAATGGAGTCATCGTTTTTGTTGTATATTGGAGCTCACTTATGTGAACTGCTTATGTGGACACAGATGGTGATTGTTGAAAGTCGTTTAGATTTCGTGTTATGTAAACCTCGGAACTTTTAAGCCACGGTGGCCGAGATTGAAATAATAGAGTAAAATAGTTAGTTGCAAAATTTAATCTTACCACTCGCGTTTTCAACTCGGATAATAAAATCTTCAACATTTGATATTATTTTCTCCATTAGGTATTGACCTAAAAGAATATGTATATATATTTAATGTGTTATAGACGGTTCGTAAGGTGATTATACGTCAGGCAGTCATGCATGAACTGAACGTCATGCGTCTTTGCGATTTTGGATATGAACGTAATAATTGATACGTGTTGATGATGAACATAATTGCTTTTATTAAGGAACAACCGTCATGAATGGCGATTTCTAATCATTGTTTCTTTTCAGCAATCGCCGTGAATTGTTGGGAATGCAAATGCGAAATTGAAGTTGTCATCTACACGCATGCGTGAGTTTAGACGAGTTCAAACTGGTAACTAGTAAACTATTCAAACATGCGCTTAGCTAAATTAAAATTTTGGTTTTGGGCAATTACTTGATATGCATGCTGAAACGTTTTTACAATTATACTTTGACCTCGGATCACCTTGAACTGAATATACAGAAAAATGACCGAAAAATTAGGGAAATGCAAAGAAAAATTGTGATTCAAATGGATGGTAAAAATCCACGATTTCAGATTTTAAAGTTACACATCAATTCGTTCATATTAATTGGAATTAGGAAAAAGTACTGAACTAGTTCAAGAAACAGTTGAAATTTCGGTAAAAATTGTAAATACTATATATCTATACTATTGTAAATAAAACTATCCGTAGCACATTTACTAAATTCGATATAGTTCGAGTTATTGTACTTGATAGAGGATCGAGTGTATATACTTTCACTTTCATGATTGGAAAGTCAATTTTCCAATAGCTACGAACTTACGAGAACAATAATTTTTTAATTTGTGGAAAAGTTTTTTGATTTGAGTACGTGCAATTAATCTCTTTGTATAAATGGAAAACATTTGTAGTGCTCCTACACGTCAGCAAACATCTTAATGAACGAGTCGTGAGATAGAAAATAATTTTTAAATAACCTTTTACGTAGTCTTTTTTCTGCACGTAAACGGTTCTGCTCGGCCACTAAGACGTAGCGCCCACGATAATTAATAGGGAGTTTTAGCAGTGACTACCAGTATGACTACCAGTACGACTACGAGTACAAGATTCGTCATTTCCGTCTTTTGCGTACGCCATCTGACGAATCTCGTATAATCACTGCGCGTAAGTCAGTAAAAGCGTTTTGCGCCACAATGCATAAACTCTTCAGAATTTTTAACCATTTAGAATGCCATGCAATCGTATACTGCATGGTACATACATAGTGATCGATTTTCCATTATTTACAAGATGCATGAAAACCTTCATCCACTCTATTCATATAAACAATGCGAAAGAAATATAACATGCACTGGTTAAACCAAAATGCAACTAAATGCACCCGCATTGACTTTTATTCTAATGCAAGTTATGCGGCACATATATATTCTTATTAGCACTGATTGTCAGAAAAACATGAATAAAAATAAATACTACAGTATATACAACTTGTCTGTTAACACGAGCATTTAAAGAAAACCTTACAAACGTATTACAAAAAAGCATGATTTGTATAGCTGTTTTCCAGTAAATGGTTTTATTATAAATTGGCCGACAGAGCCATTTTGTGTCTTAAATCGCTAAGATCATTTTGCCATGGGATTTTAGCGTACGAGATATGTCCACTATGGACAACTATGATAACTAAAATCGTCAAAATGGCCGCCGTTTTAGGAACTAAATATCAAGTCAAATACGCGATGCGATAATTCTGAATAATGACAACATTGAATTATTAAACAAAATGGAGTTGTTTATAAGAACAAGTATACTGCATTTTCATTTTTGCTAACAAGCAATGACCCGGAGGTTGATAACGTATGATTTTTGTATATTTATATATGCACTCTATATTTTATACCTTACACCTCCGCGCATTTGCCCAGGGCTTATATAAATTCGTAAACCCTTTCATCTGATGGGCTTATATGTGGGGCAGGCTTATAAATACGAAGGGGATAATGCATTCACTGTATTATACTGCAGTCATATATAGTGCAGTGGTCTAAACCGAAGATAGCAATAGTTTTTATTGTCACGACATATTTCTATGAAAAAGTAAAGAAAATAAACTGTAGTAATTTTACGAGCTTATACGCAGGTGGGCTTATCTGTGGAGTGAAATATTCGTAGGGGGCGTGGGCATGGGGGGCTTATAGGCGCAGTTACGGTATTAGACTAAATGTCATTAAACCAGTAGATATGTCACTTGTCCCTCCGTCTTTCTGTATAATAATTAGCAGCTATTCCTCCCAAGCCGAGGTCATTATCCGTAATTATGTATAAATACAAAGGTGATTATTGTAAAACATTGTTCTATACGGCATGTATATTGATTATTCTCTTCTGAGCGCGCGCGCCAATGCACCATCGCATTGCGCGCAGTCATTGAGGTCAGTGTGAGCCTCTGAGCAGGAACCGGTTGTATCAAGGCCGGATAGCACTATCCATCGATAGTCAATTTTTTATCTGCCATAAAAAGGGTTGAAAAGCTTTAATCTACGGATATATAAATAGCACATTTAAAGAAGGAAACGTCAGTTTTTTAACTAATAATAAGATTTAATCCAGGTTATAGTGAACAACGTACAGTTGTGCAAAAATTCAAAAAAATACTATCCGGTGGATAGCGCTATCCGGGCTTTGATACCATCGGCCCCTGCAGGCGTCTTGTTTTCATTATATCAGAAAACTGTTTATTACAATACTATATTAAGCGATTAGATAATATAATACTTTCTGCAGGCATTGTCTTGTTGAGTTAAAGTCCGGTATGTAAATGTAATTGTATATAGAACTATAATACATGTTAATACAACGTTTTGCAGTTGTTAAGTAAACAAAGAACAGTTTGCACTTTTACTGCAGGATATGCGGTGCTTAAATATGTTAATTATGCACTTGAAAAACTTCGGACCACGCCGTATATCAATCGCGAAAACCGAGTTTACACAATTGTATAAGCTTTCTTTGCAATTCTATCGTGAGATTGTGTTTGCATAGAAAATATGCGAGCAATAATGACAAGCATTTTAAACGAAGGTCGCATTTCGCACAGATCAGTTATCTGATTATACTATTTGCGGATTGGACCTCTGAGACGTATTTCGAGTAGAGATTTTCATGATTATAACAACAAATCAGGAGCAAATGTCATACACAAGAACATACTCTCGAATGAGTTGGATTCAACATGAATTCGATAGGGTCTAGACTCCTATATATAGAAACGTATTATTGCTAATTTCTACTGCACTGTTGTATTAATAATTTCATACATTTTTTGCCACTACACATTGTAATTCCGGCGGCATTTATAATACATATATATAGCATATTACTACAGTACAAACCCTATTGTCTGACTGCAGTGAGAATGATTTGATGTTGACGAATTCCTCACCGTAGTAATCCAAACTGAATTCCAGATTGTAGCAAATCTAATGTTACCCAACCAGATTAAAAATGCACTTCGGTGCTAATGCAATCTAAGTTATTTAATATTCTTTCAATATATTTGTTCACTGAATCATATCAAACTCTTAACACGCATATCAACAACGTAGCAAAATTAGCACACGTATCTACATGTGCAATTACGTAATATCAATAGGTGCTAATCTTAATAACTAATGGAGCATAACAATTTAAACTATGCATCGTTGGCAAAAAGGCACATAGTAGAGTGCATTTTAACCGGGCAATGCCAATGACATCGGGAGCGGCTACAAAAAGCGATACGTACAGTCGCAACTGGAACCATGTGAAAGTATTTAAAATATTGCATAATCTTATTAACACATTACAAAGGAAAAAAAATCGTCAATATTTATCAATAGTTTCTCCCACCGGGGTTCTATTGAAGAGGTGTACATCAATTAGCACGCACGGGCGAAGCGAGCAAAAATACTGTATATACAGGTCGAGACCCAGGAAGTCTACTTAGTCTACTTCGTTTTTTAAGTAGAAAAGGTCTAAAGGTCTGAACTGATATCCAGTTTTGTCGGGTCCAAGTAACGTCAGACGCATGGAATGTAGTGTCATATTGCTAAAGCTGTAGTACTGCATTGGCTTTAGTGGATTTGTTGCCCTTCCATATATATACATTGCGAGTCACAATATCTGCAAGCGGGGAGAAGGCAATAACATTTCTGGTGGTGCAGTATTTTGGAATTAACTGTTCAAAATTCTGAGAAAACTGAGTATTTTGAGACTGTATATAAGTTGTAGTAACACATGTACCTAGCTATGCTTTGCTTCGCTATTAGTCTCCCTAATTCTCAACACCTCACTACGCCCCTTATAGAATAGACTATAAATATACATCCATCAGAATTAAGTGAACAGAAATTAAGCTCTTTAAAAAATTCGATCATGTAAACAGACCTTTAGTTCTATGGGAATTTTAAGAAGCATAAGTAGCTATCGAGTCACTACACGCGCAGGACAAGTAGCTACATATAGCATATCGCCCACACGATTCACATAAAAGTGATAAAAAAACCGTCACCAAAAGTCACTTGTAAACACTTTAATAATAACTACCAGTCAACCATTGCTAAGAATTATTTGGGTAAAGACCCTGGCAGTCGCTACACGACGTCACAAATGGAAAATATCGGGTTGAGAACGGGTATGTTATAATGTTCTAATGGTACCATGGCAGGTATAGTTTACCTTTGATAACAATGGTATTTACAATGAGCCAGCTATTCAGACCTATTAATAACATTTTGGAATTTATCAGCAGAGTTCGACACGTAACTATCACTTCATTGGGAGGTCATTAATATAAACAAGAAATAATAGTGGTCCCAAATTGCTGCCCTGTGGAATGCCCTGCATGGAACAGAGTCTGATAATTGATCATTGACGCGACATTTCTGGGCTCTATCGGTAAGATAAGATTCAAACCACCTCAAACTGATTTCGTTTATTCCGTAATTTTTAATTATTTGGTGATCAACTGTGTCAAATTCCTTCTTTAAGTCAATGAAGACAATTCCATTGATTAGGCCATTATCATGTTATTCACGAGTCACAATAACTCTTTACATTAATGTGGGAGTTGTTTTTACTACGTTGAACGAGTTACATTCATTATTAAGGAAGGAGTGTTTTCAACTCGGCCATGCGAGTTGTTTTTACCCCCATTAAAGGCGTTGTTATAACTCTATGTAGTTAAAACTACTCCTCTGCAAGACTACAATATAATCTATTCATTTCAACTCCATCTTCGGGAGTAGTTTATATATATACATATAATATATATATATATATATATATATATATATATATATATATATATATATATATCACCGAAGGCGATGGTTGACAAATTTTACTCAACTGTTCCTGGCTTAAATTGAGTTGTGTATGATTCCACTCGAAATTAAGACCCTTTAAAAGGACCTAGACCACGTTGCGGCTCATTACACCTATGCAGAAGGGAAAGACTCATGAGAGCCTACTAAGCCAATAGCTAAGATTCGATCACTTTGCTATGTTGAAAACGAGTATTAGGACTAGTTTTGGGAGAATGAGTGGTTCATGTTGGAGATTGGATGGGTGTTGTGGGAGAGTGGGTATAGGTTCCCGTTCGTACTCTTGCCACTTAGAATCTTTTTCTTCTGCAAGATTGCAAATATTGAAAAATATCAGGACGACCATTGACGCTCCCTGGACCAAAATATGATTGTTTGAATGATTCCTCAAATTAAAATTAATAGTCACCGGAAGTGATCGAAATTAGAAATTGAAAGTGCTTCACCTTTGTCGAAAAGGGTATGTATGGGTATTTCCTAGCTAGATCAAATTAAATTCCTGGTACCGCCTGGCACTAAGGATGAAAGAGTAGCCAGGGCCCAGAGCCAAGTTCATCAGGATTACATTGAAAAAAGAACTTCCTACCACGAGCGCATGTAAGCACATGTTGGGACGACGTCAAGTTACTCTCTGATAACTCAAGTTTTTAATAATGATTTTTTGCTTAATGCTTATTAGAGAATGCTGGAATGTAGTAAAGTGGTATCAGTAAATCACATTGCAAAATCAATGAAATATACGGAGACATATGCATATCTAAGTGGAAACATTATTTGGAATTTGACCTCATTGACCAAATTTAACATTGCAAAATTCAAACTTCAAAATCAATTGTTAAAGTGCTTTGTTATTTAAAGTCTGTGAAAAAAAAGTGTGGGAAGGAAATGCGATTTTCCTCTTAAAGATTTCAATAGTGCTTCAGCAATTGAAATTGGAAAAGGGTATAAGTGGTTTTATCTCCAAAGGTATGTTTTATGATTTTATCATGACTTAAGCTTCACGATTAGTTTGGACTTTGGATCATGATCCAATTTGACATTTGTCGCCATGTGAATATCACCATATTTTTGGGTGGGAAAAATTGTCAGAATAAGGTGTTAAAAGTGACACTATAGAAAACCGAAACTAATTTTTACGAATCTTGGTTGCCAAGGACTCCAATATGAATCAAATTCTCAAGTGTGTTATATTTATTGCTGTTTTTAATAGGAAAGCGCAGTGTATCGATCCGATATTGTTTTGATATCTGCAGTTCAGGATATCTGCAGTTCAGTTGACTGATAGTTTTGCGATAGTCTGCCAATATTCGAATGTATTGTGTGATTTATTTTTTAATAACGAGAGTGTAGAAATATTTTGACATGGGCACAAACAAACTCATCTCATCCTCAGTGAGGGGAAAATCTGACTCAGATTTTTTAAGTGGAAACATGCTTAATCAGGTTTAAACTGACCTGCTTCCCTAGCACTGAGGTTAACTTGGTTAAACATTTTTTGAATTGGGAAACTAAATTAGGTTGAAGTTAAGGAGGACACCAATGGAGGACAATGATATTTAATAATTACAATGTCCTTGAGTTGTATGTAAGCTGATTGATAACCTACAAAATGAAGTTGATCAGTTATCAACCATATATGACAGGAGTGAATGGTATAATTGTTAGTTAGAACTTTCTAAATTATCATGAAATTGTGTGAAGTTGATATAAATTCTCCTCTTAGTATGCTGTATTTCTGGAGTGTTTTCACTTCTCCCCTTATATTAGCTTATGTATAATAGAGTGAGTGGCTGCATGACAGCCAATCAGGTCCAATAGGGTTAGAAGTTCTAGTTAAGTTATTAAATTATTATCTTTGGCAGAAGTTCCGTCTGTTCTTTTCACATTTCTGAAATTAAAGCTCATAATGCAGTCTTGGTTCATTCGAATAATTTGGCAAATTGTTTATTTCCTATTTCCTTGACAGGAAATGTAGACATTGAGTTTTATACTATTCAAATGATGACAGCAATTGTCTCTTTGCAAGTGATAGTGAATGGAAATGAACAATATGTTTACAATCTATTCAAGAAGGGAAACAATATATTTTGTTTCTGTTTTACTACAAAAGAGCCAGTATACAAGATATCTATGATAATTAAAAACATTGCTTTAGTATAGCATTGGTAACCTTGTGCAGTTTATTGTAATTTTTTATTTAAAATCCACAATGATTGCATGGCTAAATTAGCTTGTGGTTATCAACATGTTGAATACCTTTTCCCATAGGTGATCGAAGCATTGGGACTACGTGCTGCTGCCAGCTCTGGGCAGAATTTATGATGAGCTCAGCAATTTGTACTCAAAATTTTGGCAACTGTTGCTTAAATCCATGATAAGTTGGGCAATTCTTGCTGAAATGATTTGTGTACCTCCCCCCATATATTTCTTCCTGTTGGTCGTCCTGCATCTTGATCTGTTTAACTCTAGGCATTTCACTCACTGAGGTTAATAAATCACAACCAATTTGTTTAGGACCATGGATACTTTTGTATCAGATATCAAAGGATATTACAACCAGTTTGACAGCACAAGTGGTAAGGTGTAATTATGTGTAATTGTACTGATGATATGTACCTATATAACCAAGGAGCAGTGTGGCAGCATCTTCAAACAACTTAGCATCAAATGTGGTATAACAACTGCCTAAATAGACAAAACAATTCTCTACATTTCGACCTGAGGGCCTTCGTCAGGAAACCAGGTCGAAACGTCAAGAAGTATTTTGTCTATTTAGCCATTTGTTATACCACATTATGTACCGATATAGTTTCAAAGTACATATTCATCACATTTTGTAAAAAAACTTGCACTGCAGAATGAATTTAAGAAAAACTGCTTAATTTTATAGTGGCAAGTCCAAAATTAAAGGGAGTCATTTTTCAGCACTGGTTGTTTGCTTCCTTGAACATAAACTAAGAGTAAAGAATGTCAAAAACCCTGAAGTTGTGACAATTACTACACTGCATGTCTCTTGGAGACACTGGTCTCAGCATGATATGATCGAATGCTCTATTATAGCACTAAAATCTCCACTACCTTTACCCACTCATATATATATATATAATTGCATATCTTCATTGTGATATCAATATATAGCACTTTATGCATCTTTAGACTGACCTTCAAGTGGTGTGTTATCCCACAGCTCACAAATGGTTGTTGTTTTACAACAGTTTTTTTTTCATTTTATATAGATCCCAGAACTCAAGGTTGGTTTCTAGTTCCATCTATCTACAGTCCCCTTTCAGCATGCCTTTTATATATTTTGGTTGTTCAACTTGGACCGCGATTCATGGATAAGCGACAACCACTTGAGCTTAGAATCCCAATGGCCTTGTATAACTTTGGAGCAACTGCTTTAAACTTTTATTGCTGTTCAGAGGTATATATCTATATTTCTAGGTGTTGTCTTCTCATACTGGTACATCTCAACTTCTCATACCCTTGTCTCCTTGACTGTTGGAAATTGTTTAGTTTATCTACTTCAACGGCTTTTAAATTGTCTACAGCCTAAAATATTGTTTAAATAAAATGAAATAATTTTTAGAGAAGTTAAAATTAAAATTGAAATTAAGTGGGTTTGTAGTTTTCATGCATGCAATCACCATGAGAATAACAGCAACGACCTACTGGTACAACTTAGATAATTTCCACTCCGTGAAAATTCCTAATTGACTCAACTTCATGTATGTGCACATTGCACTTGGAAGGCGCACATCTTCTAGCCGGTCATTACTAAATTATTGAATGCTTTTTTCTATTGTTGTAGCTTCTAATTGGCGCGTGGAAAGCTGGCTATCGTTATGTATGCAACAGAGTGATAATTTCAACCGAACCGGAGCATATGAGGGTAAGTAACTCTGTAGTACCCTATTATGCTCGAAATAAAAGTTACAATTAAAAAAATGGTTTTCGTATATTATTTCAATGCTCTGGAAAGAGCTTTTCCTGCGGTATACCTCACGACTGACGAATTTTCCCAGTTTAAGATTTCCATTGGTTTTCAACTGCCTAAAAAATTTAAGGACTTAATAAATTTAATTTTATTTGATTTTCGCTTATCGATTTCGTAAAAGGCACCTACACACGAAAGTTATGTGCCTTTTTAAGCAACTGAGTACGCCTGGCATCTTGCTAAAGCTCGGTGTTACAGCGGATAGTGTCCCCCCGCTGATAGTGTCCGCCACGGGCCCGTTGTATGAAAGCCAGAAAGCGCTATCCACCGGATAGTGTTTTTTTTTCAATCGCTTTAAATTTCGACCCTTGTTTGCTATAACTTTGAATAAATCTTAGTATTCGTAAATCAAGGATCCTCTTTAATAATTGCAGGTCCCAAATATGAAATGTTATCGCTTTTCGCGCATTTTTAGAACGGTGAAAAAAACCACCATCCGGTGGATAGCGCTATCCGGCTTTCATTCAACTGGCCCTTGGACACTATCCGCTAGCGGAAAAGTTAATATTTGCTAGAAAATATAAATTGGATCGCAAATCGGTAACACTCGGCAAGTTGAATCTGCATTGACGTGCTCAAAGTCTCAAACAAGCTCAACTTAAATGTTTCCTCCGGCGTGCGCCGGGCTTATACGGACGTATCTCTAGTGTGCGCCAGGCTGAATAGAACCTCACGCATAATGACGTCAGGCGCAGGATGCATTAAACTCCGTAAAACTTCGTTTAACATCAGGGTCTCTGCGTTTGACGCCATTATGAGAAAGATCTGTTGTTACATAATTCAGGCTGAGGCAACAGAATACCTAACTTTTTGGTACTTCATATAAAATGGTAAATAACGTACTTTTTCATCATGCATTTTTATTGGGTTGCGGAAAATGTAAACGAATTTGCTGATTGGTCGTAAACGTAATTCATCCTTGTTGCTCTATTAATAGTAATAGTCGCATTTTACAAGTTATACTCATGCATACACTTTAACAAGAACAGAAGCAATTTAATGTGGCACATATATACAGGATTTATCAAGAAAACGCGACCCCGGAACTTCTTATTAAGAAATCGACAATCAGATGTTTAAATGGAATATTTTATTACTTTCCAGATCGCGAATGCTATTTGGTGGTTTTATTTGTCAAAGTACTATGAAATGTTGGATACGGTATGGGTTGATAGCATTTACAATATAAGTCGTATTTCATCGTCCAGCATTTTGTATAAAATCTTTTTCTTGGGTTATATTATAAAAGGAATAGAAAACACATTCTCTGTGTCTCTATGTTATGTAAACAGTAAACGTTATAGAAACGCTCAAAGTAACGTACGTAACGCGAAACTAGCCCTAACGGCTCCCACTGCTTATTTCTTGTTCTTCCAAGCTCCCATGCGTGTTTCTATTACTGTATAGAGACACGGAAAATGTTTTCTAATAATCTCTAAAATATTCCTTTCTGTGGAAACATTGCCAGTGGTTATGAATTTAGCGAACATTTTTGAGCCGCCGTCTTAAAAATACCACGTCCGAAATCAATCAGGAAAACGCATTACCTAAAGGCGCTGTTACACTGACTGTGCCATTTCCCGTGCAACTTGCAATGCAATTCTACGCTTAAGACATGTAAAGTTGACAAATACTACATTTTATTACGCTATGCTGACTTCTCCTACTGTAACATTTCCAGCACTCTTTACTTGCATATTAACATCTCTCAAAATAGTGTAACAGCCGACACACTCCGGACGCGATTTGCCAACGCGACGCGAATATGACGAATTTTTCAGTTTTCAAAATTTTCTAATTTTGACAATGCTGTGCTAATTTTGGCAGTTCTTGGTAATTACTGAATGATGGTACATTTTGACTTGTCTGGTACCTGTATCTCTCAAAATTTTCGTTGGAAATTGAATTTATTTGCTCTTGATAATGAAAAATTCGCGTCGCGTTAGCGAATCGCGTCCAGTGTGTGTGGACCTTAAGGTTAGATAATGTCACTTGCAGTGCACCGTGAAACATTAATAAGAATTATCGCCATTGTTTAGTATTGACGTAAATGTTGTTGAGCAATTGTCAGCGTGTGCATTTATAGGTTTTTTTCATCCTTCGAAAGAAGAACAGCCAGATTACTTTCCTTCATGTTTATCATCACATGTCAATATTAGCACTGTGGTGGATTGGCATTAAATGGGTTCCTGGTGGTACTGGTAAGTTTGCCTGTTAAAATATAAAATACTCTCCCCGTACTGCGCACCTAATTTAACAGTTTTTTGGTTGACTAACGTTTTACCATTTCGAGAAATCCACTCCAAATACATGTATCCTATATTAACTAGGAACCTTCCAAAATACTAGAATTTCCCTAAAGTTAGACACGCTTTCGTCCTATCTAACCACAATGCCTTTCGATGATAAGTGATACAGATCTTGTACATCTTGTATCTTGGAAACAACAATAAAAAAGAATAAGGTTCTATCACTTCATCCAATACCACCGACAAGCACTAGCCTTAATTGTTGAACACTGTTAATAAAAAACAAAACAAAATATTGAATTATTTAGTTTACCTAAACTGTCTGGAGACGTCTTATTGATTTCAAAAGCAATTTTCTCTTGAGCATTTATTTGTGTCTTTTTCATTCAGAACTTCTCTGTTTTTCATCTCGTAATGGCATCGCCGGTAGCGCCGGTCCATTACGGGAAAGTAATGAATCGCTGAAAATTATTCTAAGCTAATCACTGAGCTCCATTTCACCGAAAGGGACGCTTGCCATATAATAAACATGCTTAAATGCCCAAAACTGTGATAATTCATGATGCACAGTCCGTAATTTGAACCTAGTTTAGACTGTCACGAACGTTTGAATCGTTTTTGAACGACTATTAAAAACACGTTTAAACACGTTCGTACAAACAAACTTTTTGTCAAGATGTACCCGAAGGACTCGAAGTATTTACAAATACTAAACAATGTCACATATAATGCTTGCGATAATGCTTGCGCTTCCCTCCTAAGACATGATTCTCTAATACCCTCTTTATTCTCTTCGATGAACACGATGCCCAGAAACTATGTAAACATATTCGGGGGGTTTCAGCTTTTTATAGTTCTATGATCAATTCTTTCGTCCATGTTGTGATGTATACCTATTACGGTCTGAGTGTATTTCCTTCAATCCGAAGTTACTTATGGTGGAAACGGTACCTCACGCAACTTCAGCTGGTAAGAATTTCGAATGGCGTGTTTAAGTTGTTTTATATACAGTAGATGCAGTTCTTTACTTTTTTATTTACTGAAACAATATTGCATTGGATTCGTCTTTCTAACCAGTTTAGGTGAACAATTTTTAACATAGAGAATTTTATTTCTCAGTTCTTCTGAGAGCCCATTCCAGAATTTTTCTTCTCTGAACTTGAGACATTTCAAAGAAGTGAGAGTGAGGGATTAGTAAAAGTAATTTAGTAGAAGAGTCTCGTAAATTGTAATCCTGGGTGAAAGATGTTTTGAAAAGAATGTTCAACAAAAATTTCGCAGGGCTTAAAGGAATCATGGATATACTCAGCATTTTTTGACCGTTACTCTCGGCTCACCTTTTTTTTACATATAGTTTCAGTTTGTGTCTTACGTCGTGCAAGCAGTCTTAGCTCTATATGATGATTGCGGTTTTCCTCGGTGGGTGAGCTATGGTATGATGCTCTATATGGTCACCATGATATCGCTGTTTGGAAACTTTTACCTGAAAGCGTACCGTAGCGGAAAAGACAAACAAAAAGCGAAGGCCATTCAGTCCGAGAGTGTTCCCAATGGAACGCGGGAGAAAGTTGATTAACAATCCAAAAAACCGAAAAGATGACCCCAGTGCAAGGCATGCTGGTAAATTAGCTACATGTTTATTAGCTACATTAGGACACGATATGAGTATTGGAAAAAATGTGTGCAAGTTAATATTGTAAACAAGGTTTTTGGCTATTTTTGCAAAACACGCGATAAGAAACTAAGAATAGTTGTCGACATTTTCCGCTGCCGTATTTACTGATCAAATAAAAATTTTGTAAATCGGCTGCCTAATTAATGGCCTATTTGACTTACGAAATATTGCTGAATCAAATGCAACAAAATGTTTTTTTAGGTCTACATACATAGTCGAGTCGAGATATTTATATGTTTCTATGAACTTCAGTGTACATTTTTAGCCGTGGCGGAAAAGCGGAAAGCTATATATAACCTGTCAACGTTTTGTACAGCCTCGTTTCATACACAATGGCAAATGATATAAACACATTAAATATAGTGCACAATGTATTTATATTTGGACAACTCTTCTGAGCGCTGATTGGCTAAACAATGAGCGCGAGATCACCTGGATGTTATGGAAACGATTTAAGTGAAATGTGAAATATCAAAGCGACTTCACATAGTGACCGTTTGTAAACAAATATATTTTCAACAAAAACAATTTAACAGCATGCATTGCGCGGTGTTATTATTATAGTAATTTAATAATTATAATAACAATAAATAGATGATTTTTATACCCTAAAACAATATACACTTAAAGTATGCTCCCGAAGGAAATAGTGGGTTTTGTTTTCTTAAGAGTCTGATTGAGTCTCGAGGGAAAACAAAACTCCCCGAGGTAGTGCACATTAAGTGCTTTGTTATATAGGAACAAGAACATACATGTTACACAACAATTTCATCCCAAAAAAAACACTTTGTTATGACAATATGCGGGCAACTATTTTTCACTTGTTTCCCTGGCGGGAAACATTGCATTCAATTTAAAGTCATATGACTACAAATTAATGCACCAACCACATTTAAAATACACAGCACCTATATAACAATAAATATTAATTATACCCTACGAAATTTTTAACACTTCAATCACTATATTTAAAATTGTTAATATTTGGATAATTAAAAACATATTACAATATTTGTAGCAATGTTGTGATGTCATTGTGGAATCGCAAATCTTTCTCGACTAGTCGACTAATTAAGGCCCGCCGCACACGGAAGCTATTAGCTGAGGTAAAGACCTCGCGAGGCAGTCCGAAAAGCGAGAAGCTTGCCTCTCGAGATGAATTCCTCAGGCTGAACTCGAAGTCAATTAACGATTTTAGTGTTCGAGTTAAGCCCCGACTTTTGAAAGATGTGAACAAATAATGCGCGTAAATTAGAAAAAACATTCGTGAATAAGGGGACGTAGATTGGATAAAACCCATTGAGATGACTAAACCTGGAGTGCCTGCTCCTCTCGAAAACCGTTCGCGAAAGTGTCCGTAAAAAGATGGCGTCAGCAGAGGTCATTTCTCTCATAGTAGCAGCCACTGTCCGCGTGTGTAAGATATTTCGCCTGGCGCATGATAACTCAGTTGTGTTTTGGTGCCCTATGACTTCATCATATCAGAGCAGCTGGAAAGGGAACATTAAATAACTTAAGCTTAGGGGGGGTTACGTTTTCCCAGTTCTCCCTCCTGGTTTAAACGTCCCTACTCCATTAGCCGGCTAATAAACTAGATTCGCAGTCATATTGCTATTTTCCCTTTAATCTCCCTGACGTTTGTTTATGTTTGACCAGTTTTATTATAATTAAAATAACTGAAAAATGGGCCATATATTCGACATAGAATAGTTGTGTATTCGGTAATGTGTAACTATACTACAGCCGGTATTGGTCATTGGTGAATACTGTTCTCAAACGAATACCGCTGTGCCGAGTATATTACTGTTGCCTAATACACCTGCATCACGTGAAAAGGAAACGGACGTCTAACTGGTCATATTTTGATAAATTATATCACGTTATTACTTTCCGTACAGACCAGATATCACCCTATATAGACGCTCAAGTACCTTCAGGAAGTTTATTACTTGAAAGGTAGGTTACTCCAAATCAGTAATACCAGTCATAATTAATTATTTATAGTAATTTAGTTACTATAAAATTTTGCTTGTTGTATCGAGAACTGTTGTTATCTTGTTGCATTCGCTCAAGCTTTTCGTGATGCTTTTCTTTGCCAGTTCATAGCCTATATATGTTAGTTCATAAAAAGGCCTAAACCTTTGTGTTCCGTATCATTCATACCCTTCAGAAATTTAAATTCACTTGTTCATATTAATTATCTATGTTGTGCAGTTACGCAATATACCCGACATGCATATAGTATATAGTTCAAACATGTGGTATGACTTTGACCGTCATTGTACACTTTTCTCCAGATTAACACATGCACGTATTGTTTTATTATTTCCATTTTAAATGGCTTTCAAGTGACGACGGTTCATTTCTCTCCAAGAGAAATCCTATCGGTCCTACTTAATTTGAATAATCCCTGAAATGCTATCAAATACCGCACCGTTATTATCACTAGAGATTTCTGGGAATAGAGGGATGTCTAAATATAATTTCATCTATAGCAATAACAGACATTAGTATTGACTTTTGTTGTCAAGTTTTTGCCTGAATCATTGCACAATTACCTGAAATATGAGCACTACACCGAGTACAGCTTGTGTAAATATATATTAGCTGTGTATAAGTAAACAACACGATATGCTGTGTACATAAAACCGCATAATAAAACAAGCGTCGATATTTTAAGGTGCATCGCACCTCATCTTTCACTACAGCTTCACTGCTCCGGTCGCACCACAGTGAGAGTTCGAGCTCCCTATTCACAGCTATAGAGTTTGTTTTTAGTGAAAGGTTTTAATAACCTGTGTTAACTGCAGTTAACGTGAAATACATCACCGCATACATATATAAACCATGTTCACACCTGTAATTTTATATTGGGCCATCTGGAAAGTTATAGTGAACAATGAAAAAACTGATAATATGTTTTATATGAAACCTCTCTGAAAGTCGTGCTAGCGTTAGAAAAATTAATATCCTGATAAGGATTTTTTTATTCAGGCACGTTGCGTGGCAACGTGCAATTAAACAGTTTCTTAAATTGCCCCTTAACTTTAGAAAACTGTTTCTTAAAGTTTTCTAAAATTGCCCCTTAACTTTTATGAAACAGTGAAAAAAGAGGCATCCTTTACTTTCCACACCAGTTTGTAAACAATCCTGCGCATGCGCAGACAAATCACACCTGCTTTTGTGGCGTAAATCTTCATCGTCTCATTTCAACCAAAAGACAATGACTGGACAACGACATATAAAAACTAATTTTTCTTCAGGATATAATATGAATCAGTTCGTTACAGAAGCTACGGAATATTACAATTGGCTTGAAAGCATTAGTGGTAAGTTCTTAGCGTACAATTCACAGTATTCTGTATAAGGAGAGATACTTCATACTAAGTTTACTTTATATAGAAACTCCACCTACAGCAATATCAGTTTTCTTTCTTGGTCTTGATTTTTATAGATCCCAGAACCAAGGACTGGTTCTTAGTTTCATCTATCTTCAGTCCACTTTCAGCTTGCTCATTGTATTTGCTGGTAGTCAATATTGGGCCACGATTCATGGAAAAACGACAACCGTTTGAGACTAAGATTCCAATGGCTCTGTACAATTTTGGAGCAACGGCTCTGAGCTGGTATTGTTTTACCGAGGTATACTGTTTTTGCTTAAATAGAGCTCAGACAGGGCGAATTTGAAACCAAGCTCTTCATGGAATTTGATTGCAATGTTTACGTGTAGCAGTTTTTTAAATTAACTCCTGTGTTCACTAATAACGATGTTGTCTTGAATCGATATTCATTGTGGGTCATACAGGGTAAAACTTCTAATTCAAAACTTCATTGGTGTGCATGGCATTGAAAAACTATATGCGACAAATCTAATGCCCTAAAGATTTTCTCGAGGACACTAAAGAATTTAATGTCTACTTCATTCACTGCATGTTGCAATACTTAACACGATAACAAACATCCCAGTTCCAATCCTACAGAAGCATAATTTTATTAAAGGGGTTACTCCTTAGGGACACCTTGTAAACACCGGGAAAATAGACTAAATAGTGGCTAAGTCATGTCTTCCGTGCAGTAAAACTAATGATTTTGTTTATTGCATGCTGTGCTCACAGATCGCTTACATAACTATTGCCGGTCCATGCAGACAGTAGGAAAAAGGCAATCGAAATACCAGCCTACATTGTGATTATAAGCCAAACTACAACATGATTGCCTATAATCTAAAAACGTTTAGAATGCTAATTTATTCGTTTATATTTTAAGCTATTGATTGGATCATGGAATGCTGGTTATAATTACATATGCCAAAGAGTGATTGTTTCAAACGAGCCCCAGCATTTGCAGGTAATTATTATACATGCATTCACGAATATTTCCATGGGTTTTTTCGGTAAATATCATGCGGCAAAATTACACCAAAGTTTCGTTGGGGGAACACCTGGCTGCAAAAGCGCTCCGTAATGATTAATATTAACGACACAAAATGCGATCTTTCCTGTCGTATTTCCATAATCTGTCGTTTTTCAGCGGTGTTGGCTGGTTATGACCTTTTGACCAGTCTGACCTTCCCAATGCGTGAATCTCACTTTGTGCAAGAAAACACGACGTCATTAGGTAATCCAACCCTTTCCTTGCGAGCCTTTGGATCCTATACAATTCGTTGTAACATTACAAACAACTCAGCAACAAATACCTGTTTTTTTTGCGATTTTTGTCCTTATCATGTGCTACAATTCTTATGGTTGTCATTTTTGTCAGGGGATCCTGAAGCTGCGGGGATCCCCATCAATTGATACCCTATATATGATTACCCCCTGTTTCACCATTGTTAATTAATTGGCTTCATCTCGGCAATGCTTTTGTCTATCTATAGACAAGAAAATGACCGGTTCTAGAAGGGGTATTTTTGGAATAGCGTGATTTGTTTAATGATTTTTCAAGCGTATGTACGTCATACAGATCATTGTTTTTCTTTTACTTGAATAGCATTATACTAGGCAAGTTATTCTGAGTAAAAAAATTTGTATGAATGTGCAGTTACCATAGTTACGAATACCAGACACACCCAATGATTGAAAATGGCGGAGTTTTTAAAAAAGATAACTAACTTAATTTTAACACTGTAATGATAGAATTGCTTTTATTTAGCTTTAAAGATCTTTGCCTATGTGCTGAATTAAAACAATCAAAATTGTTGCAATAATAATAGTTGGCAAACTATTAATATAAACTTCTATGAGATATAGAAAAAAACTCTCGTTGAGCGAAATACGCCACTTTAAGTTCATATCCAAGACAAAAGTGTTCAGAGTCATTCCCGAAGGTTTAGCTTTTTTCACTTTTTAAAATATCTTCCATGGAAATAAGGGAGTGAGATTTTTCGTTCGTCGAGAAAAACCATAATTAAGCTAGGTTTTGCATATATTCATAAATTATGGAGAACAATACAATAAACAATAGTCCAACCAAATGGATCGTTTGTTTGCTCAGGGCCCTATTTAATAATATGTTTTGTTTCGTTCTTGCGTTTTTTCCATAACTTTATTTCAAAGAGAAAAAAATTCCAGATTTGGAAGACCTATTAAATTGTGTCCCTTATTTTCTGCTAAAGAGTATAAATCGTAATTCTGTTCTAGTGTACCTCTTACAGTACAACGAAAACTGAATCTCGTTGTACTGAAAACAATTAGTTCCATCAATCAAAAAAATACTGTCGAATAAAAAAAATTTTGATAAATTAATATGCCGTATTTTCATATTTTATAGATAGCAAAGGTTTTATGGTGGTTTTATGTATCGAAGTATTATGAAATGTTAGATACGGTAGGAAATCCTTCGACTGTGACTGAATATAAATATTTACTTCTTTTCGACCTTAGTCTGAACTGATTTGCCTGACCTGTAAACCGCGTTTACACTACGTGCTTTGACCTGGACCAGGCCTAGGCCTAGATGTGAACGTTGTTAATTCTAGGCCGCAGAATCCAGGCCGACGGTAGAAGGTGGTCTGGACCAGACCTGCACCGGACCTGGGGCACGACTTGGTAATGTGAACAGGCTTTACCTACTACGCGTTTACTAGATCTCTTCTGGCTCTAAATAGGTGTGTTAACGTGTTAATTATCCCTGACAGAGCTCGGCATAGAATTTTCCCGGCAGCAAATATAGCTTACTTTAGCAGGCTTAGCTATACAAGGCTTTGGGAAATCTTGGCCTAGAGTTCGGCCAGTGTGAACTGGTCACTTTTTGCCCAAGTTAGGACTTGACCAGATTTTGATGGGCCTGGGCTGCTATTGTATACGCGGCTTTAAAGTTATGCGCCGCTTCGTCGTTCACAACATGCATCTTTTCAAAAGAAGATTAGTTCGACAGCACTTCCGAGAAGTACGATGAGGACGCTAGACCATCAGTTGAGACGTTGGGAGTATATTATAACCTCTAACCAAAGTGTTATAAAGTTACCCGATGTCTGTATTTAAATTCTTCTAAATTCTATTGCTTCATTTACCTGAAGTGTAGTGATAAAAAACCCCGATAAGTTGAGTAAATGTAATACGCCTAGTTGGCCAATCAGGAAACTATATTTTCAACAAATACGTCACCGCGCACACCTTTTCAAAATCAAAGTATTTAACGTTAGGGCAATGCTAAATGCCAGAAATTAATATACAACCTTCGTTCATTGGCCTAAATCTACACTCGCGAATGGTCAAAATCAATCACGTGGTTTCTTGTTACCTGGCGACAGATCATGAGAATCATAATTTATTCGCAATAACCCATGAAAATCATGTTTTATTCGCAATAACCACGAAAATCATGCATGGTTTATTCAAAAATCTTCGTTCCTTTTTGTCCTTTCGGGCTCTCGTTGTTTCTGTCCTGTCTTTTGTCGTTGGTTCAGTAATGTTGACCTTCTCTAACGTTTCATACGGTTTTTACTCCGTAAGGTTCGGCCGTTCGGGTGCTGTGCACATCCTTTTATAATAAAATTTGAGGGGATCTTGAAGACGCCATATGCAAAGTGGTGCGATCCACACTATCCAATCAGCGTTGTAGGTTACAAGTGTGGGTTGGCGTTAGAAGCTTGGTCCAGCTCTCGTATTTTGTTTACTTAAGGGCGTTGACGCACTAGTCAAGTTGGCCTTTTGCTTAGTCGATCATTGTTAAAACTTGTTCACAACTTAAAATATTTATCATCACCTTAAAGTACAATTACCAAATTATTACTCGTAAGACGTAAGGCTTCAATTGCTTAACCGAGCAAAATATAACAAAGGAATGATTGACACAAACTAGTATCCGCCTGGAAATTATGTTCTTGAATCGTTACACTTGAACCTTGTACGACATAATATTGTTTGGGAGGAAATCCCATGGGCTGTCACCTCATGACAGGAAAAGTAATTTTGTGATTCCGAAGGGTCATGATGACATTTACTTTACACGTCATTTTATGTGACATGTTCCCCAAGTAAGTTCCTCATCGATATTGACCTTCTATTTTTTGCAATGCTAAATTACATTATATATGCGCATTTCGTAACAATATGTTTATTGAAACAATAGCTACGCTTAGCGTTCGTATAAGTGCTCGTAGTGCGGCAGTGACTGCACTGTTACCCTCCTCTTCAATCAACATTTATTCCTTTAGATAAGGAAGGAATATATATATATATATATATATATATATATATATATATATATATATATATATATATATATATATATATATATATGTATATATATATATATATATATATATATATATATATATATATATATATATATAAAGAAGGAATAATATTGTAATCCTAATCCTACATCTAATATGAACAATCTAGGTCATATAGTCACTACCATCTATTTCCTCCTCTTAATATTAATTAAAGGATGCTCATTTCGTGAGTAAAATGGCGAGAAGTTATTATTGCTATTTATTAGTAATAAAGTTTTGAAAGAATCAAAAAATTATGAAAATATGTAAATAAAATGCAAAAATATTAATTGTCTTTGTACACTTGTCATCCGTCGCTATTTTAGTTTTGGAAAATATTGAATTACCCATCCAATTTTGATTTATGATTTTGCAAGTAGTCAGATCAAACGCCAAAACAACCCAATTGAATTCGTATACTAATTGCTGACTGGCAAAAATTTCAAACTCATCGCGGATTTTCAGTCAGTCGATGCGCACGGTAGCAATCTAACTAAGATTGAATAATGTAATTTCGAACCTTATATAAAAATTGGATCACGGTCATGTCATGGAATTTTGTGAGAGGTCGATAATGGCATGGCGTATGTATGTATGTATGTCATGCATGTGATTTTCTTTCATGTCAAATCATCAAGTCATGTCAGGTCATGTTGTGTTGTGTTGTGTTGTCATGTCAACTTGGATTGAATGGTTTCTGCTAAACACATGATATCAACTCATCTCATATCTCATAATTATCATGAAGACGAAGAACAAAACAAATGTGTCCTTGGAATTTGAAAAAAGTTCACAGTTATATCTACAAAATTAGTGTAAATTATTTAATGGCAGATAAGATTTTAGCTTGCTCCGACATGCTAAACCACAACATGCACTTGTTTTACTCTTTTTATACATACCAGCGTTGGCGGGCTAATAGCATTCATGTTTACACATATTCATGAAATTAACCGTGCGGTAAGGACTTTGAAACTCAATAAATTTTTTCACAATAATACTGGGAGTGCTAAAAGGAAATGCTAAATACGTCATTTCTAAATTTATTTATCATAAGTATGTGGCAAGTATATGAGGCGATATATGTTATATTGAAATTAAATTTGTTAAGATTATATAATTGTGGTTTTTTCCTTTGTGTTCATTCAATTAAATTTGATAAGAAAAGGAACATCTAGACTTCTGATTGAAAATACCGACCTTCAACGCACTTGTAAATACTATTATGGCTAAACGGTTTTGTTGCTCGACAACCAGTCCACATCACAATATTCTCGAAGAAAGAAATGTATAATTAGCTATAGGCTAACGAATGAAAGCTATTTCTATTAATTTATAATTTAGAAATAGCTTGGATTTTCGAAATGTTATTCACTGCATGAATTCACGCATTCACGCCAAAACAGAATATATCTGCAGCGGTTTGTTAAACCACACAAATGACACAATCCAATGTTTTAGAAGTAATGTATATGTACATATCTATATTATATAGAGCTAAAATTTGCACGTAAAACGTCCGGACCCCTGTTAGGCGGTTGAGTGCTAATCACAAAGTTCACAAAGAGTTAAAACTTATAACTATAGTTTGTGAGAAAGGTAAACAATCGCAATCAGAGGGTAAAGGATGTAGTTTAAATAGAGTTAAAAGTATTATAGAATCAGTTGCATAAACTAGATAAGGAATATGACGACCTGGGATAGTTGCCTCATTCATAACAAGACAGTATCGAATCATTTCGTAAAATTAGCAGCTCAAAGTTCTCCTCTTATCTCATATACTGCATGCATTCATGAAATTTCACTACAGCTAAAGTTTTCATCAAATTATTTAATTCTATGTATGTTAAAATCTTTCATACTATATTCGCCTTTAAAGAATATACCCAGTTTCTCAACTCGTAATTGTATATTTGCCTAATTATATCGTGCATGGCCTTGAATTAATGCTAGGAATACGTGATCGCAAATTTGATTTCGTTGATCAGGAACACACTGTATATCACATAATCAGTAGCGAGGGAGGAGCTGGCGGCTTCAAGTCGTTATAGCGATTATGACGAAAGAATGCAACAAGGATGTCCAGAACGTTCCGTCTTTCTCGTCCTCAATTTCTAAATTCATTGAAAGGGTGTCCACGACCAGTGGCCGCGGAAAATCGTTAAGTCGGGGGGTGGGGTGAGGGTATTCACATATTCACATTCAGCACAAATGCATTGTTCAGCGTTATTAGTTTCTTTTGAAATTGATTGTTTTTCCCGCGCATAATGCACAATATGTCATGCCAAAATCATTATTTGTTTGTACATGTTTCCTACTGTATATTTGCAGGTATTTTTTATTCTTCGCAAAAAACCCAACCAAATCACATTTCTTCATGTTTATCATCATACAACAATACTGGGACTATGGTGGATTGGCATTAAATGGGTTCCTGGAGGCTCTTGTAAGTCAAACCAATACAAGCACTTCATTTTCAATGTATCTTTTAGAACATTTTATCATTTTTATGCATACCTCATCTCATTATTTCATGTAGCTTTCTTTAGTTCTATGGTGAATTCCTTCGTTCACGTTGTGATGTATACATATTATGGTTTAAGCGTATTCCCCACTCTTCGACGATATCTGTGGTGGAAGCGATATCTAACACAACTTCAACTGGTAATGAGAAATAAATAGACCCTTCCGGTAATCATAATTTCATCGTTTTCAATTTAGAACCACCCTAAATGAAATGGATTTCTTAAGTTCTCACGAGTTGTTGTGCAGAGATGCAAAATACGCTTTATTTACGATAAATTGGGTTAGAAGATGATTCCCAACACCAAAGCCCCTTACAGACGAGCAAGTTTTCTATATGGCAAGTTGTTATGTGACAAGTTTTAATTGCATGAGTCAACGAAGAAAACTTGCCAAAGAAATGTGAGCCCTTGTATGAGTTAGACCAGCAGACTATTATTTTTTTTCAATGGAAGCTAGCATTAGCGCTGTAGCTACGTTTGACTGATTTGGAACACATCATTCCTTAACATGCACATGTTAAGGAAGCGTTGGCTCGTTTCAAAGTAAGAAAGTGAAATACATTTCATTTAATGAGGTTCTAAGCTGAAAATAGTGAAGTTGTTGTGTGAATTTGGGGTATTACAACTGAGATATTCTAGAACAATGCAAAGCGTAATTCCACGTTTTTTAAGTTTAGTGGAGCTCAAAAGGCCTGATGTTTAACCCATGCCAGAAAAAAATCAAACTCCCTTTGTCCCTTTATATAATTTTGCAACCGTGTAAACCGTGCAAAAGTTTAATTACCCAGACTCCAACAGTAATTAATTTTAACCTGTTTTTAAAACTTATTCTTCCAGATTCAATTTGTATCGAATTTCCTGCAAGCAATCCTTGGTCTTCGTGAGGATTGTGGTTTTCCGCGATGGATGGCTTATGGGATGCTTTCTTATATGATATCCATGTTCATGCTATTCGGAAACTTTTACTACAGAACGTATACTAATAAAACTGTGGCGGCAAACAGGGTGACACTGAAAGAAACGTACATGAAATCTGATTAGAACTAAGGAAAGATATAGCTACTTAAAAAAATATGATTTTATTATGTAACATCATTAACATGCATGTGATTTTATATCGTCACCGAATCACCTGAAATATTTTTGAAATAAATTTGTTTACAAGAGTCCGATGATAAAATTATATATTTTGATCGGAATCAGGCGTAAACAGCAGAAAAGGATTGGATACCGATTAAAGGCGGATTACATTATTGTTCCTTCGCTGACGAAAACAAACACTTTGTTTACATTCTGAGCTGCCATATTTCTTTAAATATAAAAACCTGTCGACATATCTTATACAATATTTGTTCACTATGGTTCTGAATGAATACCCGAGAATATTCAACATGATAGGATAAATCTGAAATCGAAGCAATTCGTAACTGTGCGGGCTCGGCATCGATCGTTTTGAGCAAAACCGATACGTAGATTCACTCTGAAATTATGCAGCATACGCTGTTAAGAGACAACTTAGACAATACTGCGTTTCTGACAGAAGATGAGTATAAGATAAAATGTTAAAAAATGTTATACACATTGTGTTAACAGATCTAATGTCAGAATTTTCGTATCATGCAGTAAATCAATAATGAAGAGCCATGAGGGCCTAGTTTGACGCCCTGAGGGCACGCCAACCAACTCTGACAAACAATCATTTCACCACTTGACACGTTGAAATCTATTTAATACGGACTTTAACATGTAGCACGGCAACACGACAACGACGTGGTTGGAATACTCCTTTAAATTAATGTTATGGTGAAGCGTTGTTCTATATTATCATTTATCAACAAAACCAATTTAATGAGATTTAGGACGTTGAAAACATTGTTTTTACGTTTAGGGACAATTCTATAGACTATAGAGCCTAATTTGATGTAGCGCTCACTGGGTCCTGAAATGCAGACGTTCTACATAGGACGTAATAGTCACGTCTAATACTCCCATATAGGTGTATTTAATAATTCATTTCTTTTCAATGAAGCATGGTATTGATGTCGTCAGTGTGTTCCCATCCTACTACTTAAGTTCCCCAATAAAACGTTCCACTTCTTAATTAACAATTGTTTATTAAAATAAGCTTAGACACGCGTTGGTTAAAGTACAGAAAATACCAGACTTTCAATCAAAGCACTACAGAAATCATATAAAGATTATTAATAAAAAGGCTCTTACAATTATTTTACAAAATTAAATGTCTCAACCTTTGGGTTTGAGAACCCTCCCCAAAATTTAAATGCTCGTGTTATATACATTACAGTTTTTCTTGCCACTTGCGATTTTATGTAATTCTGCTTTTTAGAGATATGAATTAGTAGAGAAATTTTGCTAAATGTACATCTTTTAAAGACAGAATTGGATTATAAGTTGCAAGAAAAATTGCACAGTGTAACATGACTAACAACTAAATCTTAGCTTGAAAAAAATTTAGTGTGATTCGGTGTCACAAAGCTACTATACAAACTCTTTCAACAGGACTTTCTAGATTCAAGTACACCCATTATTAATTGTTTTTAAAGCAAATCGGTATATGATTTCCATTTATAAATAATGAAATATATTGAACATGGACATATACTAGCATACGAACTATATACCATGATGATGTGAAATTAAAATGTATACATTGGATTTTAGAAAAAGTAAAAATTCTATAGGCCTATACTTTATATCTAAGGGAAAACGCGATATAAAATATTTAAAAATTATTTTACAGTCAGTATATATAATATACAACATGCAGAGAGCATCAATTCTCCATTTCGGTGCCATTCACCTAAGCATTAAAGTTTCCAAAACAATTATATACTATTGTAAATATAATATCATACAGATTATAAGTTTCTAAACTGTATTGTTTCTTAAAAAGTGATATGAGACCAAACGTTTTTATCCAATTTTTGTGCAAATGCAATGTATTATAAGTAGTATATATATATATATATATATATATATATATTGTTAATTTTTGCCCTGTACAAAAATCAAGCTCAATCATCTAGTTCTCACTTGAATCAGACAGAGAGTCATCGCCGTTTTCCGTTGCAATAGGTCTCGTCTTACCACCAAACTTGTAAATGAGACGAGCGTTGGGAACCCTTTCTAAGATATCCTTCTCGTAATAGTATCTTAATGCACGGCTCATTTTTTCGTACGTCATATTCTTACGATTTTTGCGTTGTCCCCACAGTTTAGCCACTCCGCTTGAGTTCACAAGCTGAAAGATACCTTCCCTCTTGCTTATCCACCTGATATAGCTTTTGTTCTCGTCACTGTTATTCAACATTTCTTTGAGAAACTCCCATAGGTGAATGGAGCGGTTTCCTGGAAAATTTAGGAGTATTGTGTCAATTCGAAACCTGTTTTACCAATAATGAAAAGGAAAACGATGAATTATAGAAGTAAATAATAACCTCGATTGCGTGGACGTGGGCGGCGTGGGCGCTTTATTGGCTGTTTTCGTTGTACTATACCAGGCTTTTTTGGTGGTACGGTCAATCTTTGATCAACGACTAGACAGAAAGGAAAAAAATATTCGTTAATGATTTCCAACTTTCTTAAACACGAATGAATATGAATATTTGCGGTGCGATCGAATGAAGTGGATACCTCACCAAGCTTAAATATAGAGATTACAGGGCATAGATGGAAACGATTTTTGGGAAGAAACAGACGGCGAATGATATAAATATTTAACAGTTTATTTACAGATTGAAAATTCTAGTTTTGTTATTCTAGCTCTTTTCTAGATGCGTTTACTTATTGAACACCGTGTTGCAATTAACATTTACTGAATTCAATTATTTACTATACAGTCTACTTTAAGACTGCATTTAGCTCAACGTCTAAAAGTTTTGTATTTTCCATAACAACGAAGTAGGCAAAAATTAAACATTTTATTCACTCATCTTACGAATTCGGTTATAGTTCAAGTCGGAGGGCAGCTTAAACATTCTATTCATTCTTGTTTCGGACCTATTCGACAGATTTTTATAATCACCTGAAGACTTCTATCATGCGATTAAATTTGCATGCACTACATATAGGTAAATCATTTCATTAAAGTGGAAGTCAATCCGTAAAAAGACGGTTTGTTTACATTTTGAAATTCCAGTATACTTTTTGAAATACGTTGTGTTGTCTGAATATCTAGAGTCGCTATGCCTTTGAATTAATATGAATATCGAATATGAACTAGTGTTTTAATGGGAAAAATTCGAAACATGCGAAATTTGGGCAAAGTTTATATCTGAGGCCGGACCTCGTATTGTTATGAGCAGAACCAACGCATGCGCAGAACGGACTTGACTTCCACTTTAAAATTAGCACAATTGCAGTGCACATCATAAATTTCATCGTGTTGACTCCTTACCGTGCTTTTCCTCTGGTGTAGGTGTTGGGGGCGGTTCTTCCCCTTCTTGTCCGGTCAAAAAATCCAAATCATCAACAAATGCTGCAAAAGTAAATTAAAGTACACGTGGTGAGAATGGAATCCGACAAGCCGGGTGGAAGGACTACGCAAGCTAGGCCAACTCGTGTAAACATTTGGTCCAAGATGAGGTGCATGTTGAATAAAAATGTATTTTAGGTTGAAATCGTTGGATTAAAATCGAAACGAAACATCCCAATATTAACTGTTCAAGCTTGTGTTCAAATCAGTGCCGAATAAGGTGCTGAACCAATAATCTATATCCTGCAACGGTTTTAAAGCGCACATGAACTTTGACTCACCTTCAGGACAGGTAGCTATCCTGTTAGAAGTAGTAGAAATATGTTCAATATCGAATCCGAGCCATCGACCTGGAAATGGAGAGAAATAAAGTTCAGGGAATTGCATAAATTACCAAATTATATATATATATATATATATATATATATATATATATATATATATATATATATATATATATATATATATATATATATATATATATATACACCCATTTGCAAAAACGTTGGCCGCAGATAGATAGATAGATAAATGCTCGAAGTCTAATTAGAATTGCATATGATTATATTTGCATGGGATTTCAATCATATTACACAACATATGCAATTCTAATTAGATTTTGGGTATCTATCTATATATCTATCTGCGGCCAACGTTTTTGCAAACGGGTGTATATATACGGGTGTATGTATGTCAGTCTTTTTTAATTTTATAAATAGATCTTGTGATAAACTCGATATTGTAGTGTTGTTTTCTGGTTTATAACCTCGAATATGCCATACAACATTTGTATAACCCTATATTATATTTGCTGTTTGCAGTTAAAACAAATTGCCCTTTAGCAAAACAACAATCTAAGGCAACAATTCAAAGCTCAGATTATAGTGTATTCCACCCAGACCATATGCAGCTGGTTTTCTCGACGAAACAGGTATTGCATGCATGTATCAGTTGGCATATTTTGATAGGCACGATTTGCATGCGCACAGGGTTTTAATTTTTCAGTTAAACAACTTTCTAAAGGACAAAACAATTGTCAGTATGGATACAGCGTTAGAGGAACATCTTCAGTTGTGAGCGACTATAGCTATACAAGATTGGCCCCTCTTCACTCCGTGATATCAGCTGTATCGAGTGAAAAACTCTTTGCGAATTGCATACTAAAAAACCCGGAAGAAAGATTAAAAAGGGATGAATCTTAAATGAATTATTTGAATGGGTAAAACCCGCAATCTGTTCTTGTTATGGTGATAATTGCATAATTTAACCATGCGGCAGAATAATTAAGATTCCCTCAAGAGGTCTGAATTTCATTTTTTAATTTCATTATTATGCATGGTCGTAAATTTTATGCTCCAACAATATGGAGTGGGTGATATTATTTTATATGCATATTACATAAACTATGGTACAATTATGTATAATTATGTACCTGCAAATCGTGCCTATCAAAATATGACAACTGACACATACAATGCCTGTTTCGTCGAGGAAAAACAGCTGGTCTGGATGGAATACACTAATCTAAGTTTTGAATTGTTGCCTTAGATTGTCGTTTTGTTGCAGGGCATGCAATTTGTTTTAACTGCAAAAAAAGTTTTTGGACAAACAAAAAACTGTGTTTCGATTTCATGGTGACTTTTCTCGTAAAATAAACGCTGATACACCATTCTCCATCGCAAATAATCAGAGTAAGGTCTTTGCATTTTGATCTTCGCTAACCGTAGTAAGGAAACGCGAAATTCCCACGCACAGTATGAGATCAAGCACATGCACACGAGTTTACGCATATATTATACATCATCACGTGACTGTATATACTTGCCAACCGGACAACCTTAATGGGCATGACTATGTATATATATAAATATATATAGGTATAATACCTTCGTCTGAAGACAGATTCGGTATAAATTTAAAGTTCTTTTCGAGTTCCTCATCTGTTAAATCTATTAGGGAGGCGATATCAAGATCCAAGCTGTCATCAAGCACACCGCATTCTTGAACATTCCCATATCCAATTGATGACTCATTCGGCTATATTAGTAATGTGTGTTAAATTTCAATTTCTCGTTAACTTTCAGTATAAGGATTGTTATAAACCTTCTATTATAAGATAGGATAGGATATAAAATATTATTATTATACATGCGGGTTCACCAATGCCGTCATGCAGTTTTGAGCAATGAGTATATATAGGGTCAATTTCTCCGAACGACTAATCGAAATCGGATATAAAATTATGCTGATTTAGATGTGGTGCAGTTAAACTTACCGATAAATATGTATTTAGTGGACGATCGTCTGGTGAACTAAAATCTGCCATAGGTTTCATATTTGAGGATTGAATAAAGGTTGACTGAAAGGAAAAAATGAGATTAGTATACATCTAGAATAATTAAAGTGGAAGTCTGTGCGCTAGCTTCGCTTCTGCTCATATAACAATGCGACGTCTTCATCATGCAGAGATAAATTCTGCTCAAATTTTGCATGTTTCGAATTTTTCTTATCAAAAACACTAGACATGTACAACCAACCCCCCATTCGCATTCAACGCTCCACATTTTTCTATCAATACTGCACAGGTGTACCATATACTGCACGTTAATGATACGCCTTTAAAAAATACTTATAATAAATTCATAGAATCTTCATGGTACTTTCCTTCCAAAGAATGTTTATAATGTGTATCGGCCTTACGACAAATAAATATCCCCCTGCTATATAAATATATATATATATATATATATATATATATATATATATATATGTATGTATATATATATATATATATTTATATTTATATATATATATATATATATATATATATATATCATATTATTACATACGCTTACGTTATATATATACATGCATGCATGCATGTCTTAAGGCTATTGACTAACATGAATTAAATCCCACATTCTTTATTAAGATGACTCCAACGTGTCTCAACATATCACACACTATACATAATCTCTGGACATACTCGGGATTACTCTTATTCAAATCAATACTGAATGGTTCTTGCAAAAACGCAATAAATTTCTATTTAGACAGTAAACATGTCAACCCAGTATTACAGAAAGGTATACATATATATATGATCGTATTTCGGCTATACCAACTCCACATGAAAATCATTCACGATTTGCATGGTTTGTTAGGAGATGTTGTTCTCAGAATCACCAAATATTTGGACTATAGCGAAAAGAATGCTGGAAATATTTAAGCGGTGAATAAAGCCGACAAAACCAGCTTAATTAAACTGTGTTCCCAAATTAAATTTTACTTGAAAACAATGAAAATATCACTGAAAATTAAATCAACAGCTTAACTGAGATATTATTATGGCTATACTTGCATACTGTATATATATACGCATGCAAGCTTAAATCTAAATATTTTATTGCCACCTATTGCAGTATTCTTGGATTTGCGAAGTGGTCGTTGGCAAAATTAAAAGCGTTATACTGTAATAAATAAAACGTCACATGTGTATACAACGAATGACACGACATGAGTTTACGAAATACAACAGTGCTTCATGATTAGGATACTTGATTAAGACGATGTTCTATCAGCGAAATGCTGGGCATGTTGCATGACAATGTTGCGATGTACATATAAGCTGAGGTTAATCGGCTTTTTCTGCAAGTTCAATAAGATTTTAATTTCTTGTATTTGAAAGAACTGCATGCACGACTTGTAATTACATGAAATTTCACAACTGACAGGTATAACAACATACTGCATGTTGGCAAATTTTACTCAAGGCCTATATATACTATACCGTATACCAAAGCACGCGAAGTCCAAGCCGTGTCATGAATCGTGTCTAAATAGCCTGCCCCAAATTGAAAGTCAATTTCATGTCTTGCATGGAATGTTTCATTACAAATTGGCAAACAAATGTGTGGATCAATAAAAATTAACCATGCATGCATGCAACCTGCTATGCACAATGCTATATATAGACATACTGCGAATTACTCTCATTTAAAACCGTACAGGTATGTAATGCTGATGTAAGGTACTTTTTCCATGCACGCAACTCTGACTTATGAAACGAAGCTATATATATACGACTAACTTACTTAGGACATATAGATGCCAGTAGGTACAACTATTAGTGGTAGCTACAATTTTTGTTTGAAGGACACACTTATATACACTGATATACAAATACTCGAAATAATCCTTCTGTTCTATAACTATATAATTAATGACAAAAACATAACTTATTATAAATAGCAACGTTTTTGTTTCGCAGCAAGATAAAACTCCGAAGGAAAGACGGTATATCAAAGCGATGTTATATGTATTTCACTCGTATGCATACGCGTCTTCACTTGCAAAAATTAATACTTAACAACATCTAATCAACTTGTTTTTAATACCAGCATTATCGAAAAGTTCCACACTGGTTCTTCTTCCTGCATCAAGCATTCCTTGCTATTCAATATATAGTCAAAGTGTCTAAGACTAAGGAACTTAAAATATCATAATATCTAATTGCTTACTGTATATTTAAATTAACACTAAATATGTTAATGTCGTGTTTTTCTAGTTATCTTTCGTGTACCGTCATAATTTGATGAACTCATATCTAACTAGGAGTGTATCCTGATGACGAGTATACTACAATATAGTGAAATCAAAATCAATGATTATATCTTCATAAATTCATATACGTTTTAGCAGTTAAACACCGTTTAGTTGTGAGTTCTATAAATGCAGTTGAAACACACCAGTGCATGCATGCATGCATGCCTGTCTGCAATTTGTGGTGCAGACAACCGCTAAAATTATTCAACTTGCAGAGATCTACAGCTATAGTTATATACACGCCTTTAATGCTTGATATGTTAATTCTCTATCTTTATATATTTAAAATATTTTACTTACTATTTTACTATAATCGTCAAGTCGATTGTTGTTTAAGTTCACAGAAACGACACATGATTTTAACTTCAAACACACTACTTTTGCGAACAAATTAATGCCTCTCTGAAGCTACTGGATGCATACCCATATATTTACATGTATTCGGCACTTGACATGCATGAGACTATAAGGTAGCTGATGATCCTGTCAGCGGGAAAGGACTGGAAGTAATTGTCAAATAAAAACCAAATTCTGGGTGAAAATAGCTAAAAACCTCTTGAAATATATCGGTTTGAGATTTATGCCACAGCCATGGTTCTTAACAAAAGATACAATCGATAGAATCGAGCGCTGATTGGCTAAAATAGAGCGCGTGATCACCTGGTAGTGTAAGACAATGTACACTTGTTATAATTATAAGCCTTCGCATATTCTCTCTCTCTCTATATATATATACATATATCGCAAATATTATAAACTTTTTTTATGCGCAACCTCCACGCTGTTTTAAGTTCAAGAGCCTCCATAGAGTGGCTAAACAAGCCTTAGCTTTATTCAGTATTATATTTAATTGTTAATTGATGGGGTCGAAGGACGAAGATGGGTTGGGGCAATCAAAATTACTTATTGAAGTTGCATACAATGAATCATATAATCGAACAACTTGTCAACTTGTTATTGCAATATTCACAGACGTGTGATATTTACGTTTTGGAAACCATTTCAAAAACTTTACTGATAAGAAACTGCAGCTGGTAAATTTAGTAAATCCGAACATGTGCCTCTTGTGCAGCGAATCCTTATCGTGTTAACATCATCAAAGTCTTAGTCGAAGGAAACATGAACAAGCTTTAAGATAACACCTATACTATAGTTATATTACAAAGCGTATTTTTAGAAAGTACTACTTCAAGATAAACCGCGCTTATTATGACAAATCCTGCAGGCATATTAGGCATATATATTTTATTATCCATTAGACACTTTCGATTGCATGACAATGCTGACAGAAAATAGCAAGCGAGGTTTGTATAGTTAAACCCTGGTCTAGACAGCCTTCAAATAGGCTGGTACGAAGTATTTAACGTTAGTACTTTACGTGACCTAAGAAGAGCCATGCCCATCGCAATTCTAATTGAACATTGTCGAATGTTTGAATTCGTCAAGACGTATATTCAATTTTGTAGAGTGCAAAGGAATTCTTTCGCCCTACATGGCTACAACGCGTAGTCACAGAATTATCAACTAATACGATAACGCAGTCAAAGCTTATGGGCCCCAAACAACATAATTCCGAGCAACAGGCGACAGCGATTGTAAAATATACTCACATCAGAACGATGGTCTTGGCTCAATGAAATGCCATTCAGAAATATCAACGCAACTCTCGACTGGTCATCTGCAAGCTCGGCATACAGTTTAGCTAGCCGCCGATTATATAAGATTGTGTTTACAATACGATGCTTAAACAACACTTGAAGTGTGTTTTAGCGCTGTTCCAGCGATCTGGAACACTGCGTTTGTCATCCGGTGTCACCGGGAGGTCGTGGTCAAATATTTTGTCGCGTTTCGAATATCACATATCAAACTTTGATGCTTTCACATTTAGCTGTCTGAATGAGATTTATATTAAAATTTTGCTCTTAAGCGCAGACACAGTGTATATTAGTGTATAGCAGTAAGTGCATGACGAATAAAATGCATTAAGGTATAGGATATAAATAGGTAATTTTAGCGAAGATTTAAATACACACAATGTCATGCTGTATCAAATGCACAAAACATACCTCGAGGCGTACCCAAATCCAAGAATTTTTCTCTACGGCTTTCGAAACTAGCTTGCTTTAGGAGCGTTTCAGCAGATAAATCTCATGAAGCTAAATTGTTTTGTGGTATCTTATGCAAATGGTAATATGGTATGCATTTTAAACAAATTGCTCTGTTATTTTTCTCACAGAATACCATAAATTACATGCATAGAAACCGGATGCAAATTCCATCGGTCGCACGACAAAGAGAAATGTCAAGAGGGCATTTTAGGGAGTTATTCCACCCCAAGCAAGGAATCGAAAGTACAAGTTTGCGTTGTATTATTAATGCTACCATTTCAGAATCAGCGCTTGATACAGTCGGTATACATGATATAATTATACATCACGAGAAAATATGCTGAAAGGTTCCTGATTGTTTCATTGATAAGTTGTGCCTTCAAGATGAGTTATATAATTATGTAATATGAGATTTATATAACCTGATAGAAGGTGCATGATCGTGCTTATACATGATATATCCCAAGAATACTTGGGATCTTACGATTCCATATGCCGCCAAAACAGTAAACCGTATTAATTGACACTAAATGTTGCAATTTCGTATCAAACATTCTCATACAGCTGATTGAATAAAAATCTCCTTCCAAACATCAAACACTATATATAGACCCCGAACGCGCAAGACAGAAGAGAAGATTCGAAATCGATTTGCATTTTGCAAATTTCTGGCTTGAATAGGTTACCTTTCGCGCTTATAGTTTTGACGTTCGTCGTATAATATATCAGCATGGTCTAGTAATATACTAGTGTACTAATCCGACGGATCCGGCTGCATATCACAAATCATTTGATCTCGCCACAAGATCAGCTTTGCAGCCTATCTTCACAATAGTATAAAAAGATCGTAAATCTGTGTGATTACTTGTCTGAAACATGTAGTTTATCATCGCACATTTTAATACCCGATGTGATTGAAACTGGTGCAACCATTATAAGCTTTGTCCACTTACAATTGTGCATCTACGGCTAGCTCTTCAATCTGACTTAGCTGCATGTACACGCAGTATCACTCTGATACGCAGAATTAAAAGGTAAGCACGAAAGATATTTTCTGCGCTGATTCGCTGAATGCATGCATCGCATGCTCAGAACTTCCCACAAGATTGTTGATAACCCCATAAAAATAGTATAAAACACTTCCTTATCGTGCGACTTAGCAACTTGTTCACGTGCAGAATCATATGATGTGATGGATTTTGATAAGATTATCGGAACATAATGTCTATCTGGCTTACAAGCATATTGCCAAAATATATATTGTTCATAAGATGTCATGAGTCATGAGTCATGCATAAGTCATGAATGTTTGGACCACCGAATGTTTTAGTTTCTTGATGGATTTGTGTTAGAGTTGAAGCTTTTCCTATATAACAGAGAAGCTTCGATTGAGGGCTGACTGAAGCCTTCATGTAAACCGGCAGTCTTATAGGGAACACGATTTATCGTCGTCTTTGTCTTTAAATTTGTATCACCTTCGAAAATGATACTGACAGATTCGTATCATTCGTGCAAATATTGCCCTTTGACGGTAACTTGTGGACTTGTATAGAGTAGCTAAATTACAAGAAACTATCACAGTATCGCAGTAATGACGGCTACATGATAAAATAGAGAATAAAATTGAGGCCGAATGCAAATTTACAACCGATCTAATTTATAATACATATGTCTAGCATCTATATACCGAAGCGTTTGATACGGTTATTGTTAAGTCAGTATATGTGAACTGAACCATACGAATTGATCTGCGTGCATCTATGAAAGTGATAGAGAAGCTGTAGAAAATGAGGTTCCTGAGAATCAGAAACTCAAAATCGCTAATGATATATATTGATCTGAGCACATGAGAAAAGTGAAAGTTGCGGCATGCACCACGAATAACATATACGCTACATTGTGGTTTGAAACTCATTCTGCTAATAGCATCAGCGGAATATTAGAGATGCGTCACCCCATATCAAGACTTTCCGTTTCAACCGTTGATAATGTCACTTCAAGTAGGTATATTGGACACGCGCGTCTAGCTGCATCCTCATTTGGGCATTTCGAAAGCCCCAGAAAGCACGCTAGATTTTCCTTGCTTCATATGCTAATATATGGAGTAAATACATTAATGAACTGGCCTGTATACTTTGCTTTTCTTAACTAAAAAATGCAGCTTATATATTGAAAATAACATCAAGTTACTGGTTTGTCAGCACTTGACTCTGATGTTGAAACAAAGTTACATTTATGAGTATACATATTAACAAAATAGTGGTGATATAGGCTTATGTGTTGGGAATTTTGGGAAGTTGTGGATAAACAATTATAATTATGTTGTTTATCAAAGGACGACATCCGGTTCCCAACAAGACAAGACGAAATCGATTAAGGCATGGACAATTTAAAAGGCACTTAATAGAAACATACTAAGTTATGCAAGTTTCATACAGATCTTTTGGAAAAATTAAAGAGAAGATGATAAAGAAAGTAAAAATATAAGCCTAAAAATCCACCTGTCTATCCACAGTTTTCAAATTGTTTAAAGTATATATTTATATAAATAAAGAAATGCAATCGAGGGCGATTATAACCTATATAATATATATCTATCTGCAAGCAAGCTTCAAATCGAGAAATTTTGTTTTCTCAGGAGGCGTTAATTTAAATATTGTACATCACAGGTCATCACCGTTCGTACATCTAATCTACAAAGTTATAACTTATTTAGACTTTCTTATACATGCAATAAATCCGGTTTCGAAAGAATTATATTTATTTATTCGTTGCTCTGGTGTTGGAGCGCTTGCATGCATTATGAAAACTAGTGAAAAACTCCTGATTGCATTATATCAAAGCCACTTTTTTATCACTGTTTGTGTAAGACAAATTTTTTAAGTGGTACCCAAGTTATCCATTAACTATATTAATAAGGGAGAAATTATTCTCCATTAGTTTAGAGATATTGCAATAACAATTTGCTAATTGTCCATCAAAATTCCTCGTGTGCATTCCTATCCCAGTAAGCAGATTCCAGATTATGCATAAAAAATATTTTTCAAATATATTATTTGAATAGCTTGAAATGCAAAACTGAGTTTCAGTGAACACTAACTTTATAGACATTACATAGGTTAAAATCAATTAGGTTGATCTAATTATTATCTGCATTTATGTATTCGCTTTATCTCAGATTCAACATAACGGTGAAATGGTTGTCATTATTTCGGTATAGCTACGTGTTGAAGGAAGTCGATATACATGTAGGAGCTTTTTAGGCGACTTAAAGCCTAGTTTCCATTTTGTCTTAATTATGGTGAACAAGTTATTGCAAAAACCTGGACAATAACACAGTTAATTAGTTGTATTGTACTTTTATTTAGTCTCGAAACCATGTATATTCTATTAACTGTGCTTTCACCGATGAGAAATAGTTTAAATGTAAATTTGTCCTTATTGCTGTATTCAAATTATTGACTTCACACAAATAGAGATATTCAATCACATCAGCCACCTTGACATGCTCATGGATTAAATGGCAAGGAAGCGCTAGTATGATGATGTTTCATTACGCACAAACAGAAATGAAAATGCTGCAGATTGTTGAACCCTTTGAACTTGCTATTCTGCATGCATTCTGAATTGCTGCTATTCTGCTTGGAAGTGTTTAATGATGTTGCATGGTCACAAACGGCTCTGCATCAATGTATGACTATAAAACTGAATATAGTTCATTGCAAATGGCGTATAACAAGTACTTTAAAACCACCATATCTGCGTTTTTATAATGGTAAGCGTATTCTTTATGCCAAAAACTGCTAATAGAGATCCAATATTTCAAACCATGCAGTTGTCAGAACAATTTTCATTTTTCTTTGGTGAATCGATACATGTCACCAGAAGACATAACAAAATGTTATATTGAACAATCCATATATATATATGCTCGCTAACTGAACTAGCCTCACTTACTGAATTAATTCAGGAGAAACCTTTGAATATGAAGAATAAATACATTAAAGTTTGGGAATGAAACAGCACCTACCCAGAGTCGAACCAAGGGCTTTCGTACACAACTTTAATAATGTCCAATTTCAGTGCCATTCAACAAGAAACACATATAGTTGCAATTAACTAATTCTGTCCTTAGAGGACGTACATTATACATTTTACAAGCAAAGACACACTTCAAAATAAAACCCCCAATAGATGTGACAAGTTAATTTTCCTTTTCCAATCGACGTACAATTGTTCTCTCTCAAACTCCAAAATTGAGCCCTTTCATTATTTAGATCTTTCCATTATGCATGTTAGTATATGATTGTGTAGCCAGTAATACTAAGTTACTTCGCATTTATAAAAAATCGTATACAAATATTTTGCAATCTTACTTGGTAGTTAAACTGTTGACCATGGTACTGCCGACTTGAATATAATTCAAAGTTTTGACGAAGAGGAGTTTGATAATACAGAGCATTATTGTGAGCCATGATTATTGGTTCTCTCTTCGCGATAATTTTTTCGAAATTCCGTGGAGTTCTAACAAAAGATAATATAGTTCATATTTAGAGAAGACATCGGTGTGGGTAAAAAGAGCTTTGGAGAATGGGTGCAGCATAAACACAGACATGCTGGTGCATCTTAAAGGTTTCATTCCGGAACCGAAACTCAGTAGCTCTTTGTAATCGGAAAGGCTTTTATCATAAATTCGACCAGACCATGCACAATGGAGTTCCTAGGTGGGAAGGGTGATATGCATGCATGTACAAATAGACGTAATATAACGCATCTTTGTGAAACTTGATGAAGTATTAGACTACACGGAAAAAAATGTTCAGAAAAGCCGATGCTAACACACAAATATATTATGCAAAACATTTGTGATTTATAATTCAAAAAACCAGGGCGCTATGTTCAGTGCATGTACTTCAACTTGTAGCTATTTCGTTAGTTATCTCTAGGTACAAGTATAAGTAGTTTATCTGATGCTGTAAATAATGAGCTTTTTATCCATACAGTATACGGTATACTTTCCAAGCTATAGGCTAGATATGTATAATCTATTCTAGACTCAGTCAGGCTGACATACAATCTTCACATTGAGACAGGACACACATACAACACCTTGATACATTTTAAACGTTTGGATTCAAGTGAATTGGTGCTATAACAGCACAAAAAACACTATTTTGACAAGAGTTTGAACAAGTGTAAATTAATAGGCGAACTATACTAATTTATGCAAAAGGCTTGTTTCACGTGAATTTGAGCTGACACTGTAGAAGTCTAGAATAAAGGCCAAAGATTTCATCCAATTTTGAATATTTTGCTGTGTACTTTGTTGTATCTTACTCATTTTCAAACGTTTCGGTTTCGGCTTTAGAATCATACAGCTAATTGATTATTGTGTGCAGAGCTAGGCTATACTTTTCCTTGCTTCATGACCTAGTATCACGCCATCATGCAGTATATATATACTTACCAAAATATTCTTATATCAGAACTTTCGCGCCCTCCTTATATCAATCGCTTTCAAATTTCAAAAAAAGTGAAAAGGACTAACTTAAGAATGATAGGTCACTAATAAAAAAGCGTCCAAATACGAATGCTCTCTGCTCAATTTCATAACTATGAAACACGAACAATTAGCTAAGTATTGCGCATGCTTGCACGGTTGACATGTGATATGATATGATACGATGTGACTAAAATAGTTCCGAGTATGATTGACCCTGCAATTCTGAAACTGTATTCTCCGTAACACTGTGATAATAATATGGTAATGCTCTAGATAACATCACAATACTGCAGTATTATGCGTAAAAGAATGGAGAATATTTCTATTCATTAGTTTTAAACTGTGTTGCATGAATTATCGCTGGCTATGAAGACAATAGGTTATATGCCATTACGATTGACAATGGACTATTCCAAGAGGTCCGCGATGAAGAAGGTCCTCCATGAACTATATTTATATTCATTAATTTTAATTTTGACTCTGACAATAAATTTGCTAAGATAGCAATAGAAATTTCGAACCTTCGAAAGTTTATTATAACTGGTGGGCGAAGAAAAATGGTAGCTATATATAAACTGTATTTACTTAAGGGATCGCGAAGTTATTCTCATATATGTTAGCCAAACAACTGCCATGGAGATATTGAGACTTCCTAATTCCTATATTGCTATATAGACTCGCTTTCCAATTTCTTCCGCGTTCCAGACGAGTCCAGTAATTGTATTGAGCTTTTCAGTAAACTAGATTTGAAAACCAGAATAAGCTCACTCTACTTAGTTTTACTCGTCCCAATTGTTAGTGCCTTTAATTTATTTTATTTTATTTAGATTTACTCTTAAGCCTATGTTTGTTCGCCCATTTTATTGTGCTTCCTTGAATTTAATAGGTGAACTAACTTTAACGGTAGCATACAGTTTAAATGGACACATGCAGTATGCTATCCTCGATAGTTTAACTAAAATTTTTCATGTTTTCATGTTACAAGGTTAAAGACTGTACGAAAGTATATAAATATATGCTATCTCTATCTTTATTCGACAAATCGGTTTCATCACCAGGTATAGGTTATCACTTTCCATAATATTGTTGTATGGATAAATATAGATATATTGCTTTAGTGATATCGGAGCTATCGTAGTTGAAATGAATCAAGCTATATGCCTAATGACATGTACATTTACCAAAAATAACTTATATATCGAAAAAGTTATCTCGGTCTGAATTTGCTCTGAGACAACCTACTTGACACCTGGCAGTTAATCAGATTGGCTAGATACTATTTCCAGGAAGAGGGAACACGCCTCGCGCAGTGAATTCCTCACAAATGTACCGTCAAGAGAAATTAACATCGTCCAATCGAAAAAGTATAAGCCAAGCGAGCAACTTTTTCCACGACATTTAAAAATGAGTAATAAATGTCTGGTGAACTTTGCCTTTATAGAAAAACTATGTAGAAAGGTTTGGGGAAAACCATTTGTAATTTTTCTAATTCTAGGTATAAGGGTGTTTCCCTTCTCATGAGGTAATATCGTCTTTGTTAAAATGACCAACCTTTCTATTGAATACCGCGAAGAAAAATAACAAAACAATTACCATTTGTTATAATTGTATAGTCTTTAAATAAGAAAGCACAGTGTGGTTGCACATGACACGCATAGCAAACCAGCGACATTTAGAAGCTATGATGTTTTTATTCTTCATACAAAATAGACTGAAACATAAAATTGTAGCAAAGAGTTCGAGTTGCATTCCAAACAATCAAGGTTATGCCTTTAACACCGAGCGAATTGAATAAGATTATAATGAATATGAATAAAGCACTAATAATTTCAAATATATACTTCAATGATTAATAGTTTGCAGTTATTCACTGCTTCTGCTTGTATCATCTAGAATGGCGCGATAAATTAAATCCACTGCTTATTTGAGAATGCTATATGATTAATATAATGCATAGAAGCAGGCCTGGATCTATTGCATTTACTTTATGTCCAGACAAATTGCGAAGTATTTTCATGGATTTCGACAGCCTGTGGAAAAATCTTGTGTTGAACTACAAAATGTCAAATAATATATACACAAATGCATATGCTATCACAGCTGCTACATCACCGTCATTTCTCTTTATGTGCGATAAATTTGCTGTACAGCTAGAATAATGTTAAAATACTTATGTATTTTTTGCATTTAATACCTGTATTTGTCGACCTTCTTTCGGAATACACGAGATGTGTTTTCAAAGCTCTTCCTCGCAAACCGGAGATTGACTCACTGATGATGGGGCTCAGTTCAAGTTTGCTTTATGTAATGATGTAATTAAGGCAAACGCATTCCTTGGTTCATGGAATTAAGGAAGCGAAACGATGAGCGAATCGTTTTATCAGCAAGCCCTCACCGAGTGTTCTCTTTCATCGCAATGTGGTAGCGATGAACACTGCTTTAAATACATCAGGCAATTATGTCACATAACTCTTCACTTTTTCATGACCTTTCGTTTTTACTTTATAATACGATTGCTTCAACTCCGCTGCAAGACAGATATAGAACGAAGGGGAAAAACCCTGAGCTAAACACAACCAATCAAATCATGGATTAACCATGGGATGAGCGCCCACACAAAATTTTGATTGACATCTTGTTCCGGTCTTATTCATGCTAAAACGAGGACTCGCGGAATGGACTCTTTATATGGGCTCTATACCAATTCGATTCTGTGGTTCATTATAAAAGGTAAAGCAATCAAGACTAAGTCTTCGAATAGAAGAGAAAATCGCTATTCTGCATATATTCTATATTCAACAGAAATCCTCGCTGGAATCTCATTCTAGTCTGTTCATCTATGTCTTCTAATTGTGTCTTCTAATCCTCCAGAGCTTAAATCCTCGCAAATTTTTGTATTAAATTAAGGTTGCATCTTAATAAGGTTGCACATTAAGGATGTCGACTATTCTATGGGGTTATCGTATCTGTTCTTGCAGCTCTGTCATAGCGAGTGTATAAAGCTCGTTATTTCTTATTGAAGCATCAAGCTTGTACCGTTGATTAAAGACGACGTAAAGTCCGATCTGCGCATATATTCTGCGCTTAACAATGTTTGTTTACGTTTGTTATAAAATCTTTACATGACGTCAGTGTCGTTTTGATTTTCTTATTTTCTTCTCGTTCTCGCTCGACCGGCTGTGATGAATATGCTTATCTTATATTATATTTTGAAGAAAATATTATTATATTTTGAAGAAGATATAAAGCGAAGCTTGTAAATAACCCGTTATTTAAAACATTATATTTCTAATTGTAGGACAAGCGAGAAAGTAGCGACGACAAATAGCGTCGCCATCTAGCGTCGCCATCTCGTGTCCTCATTCAACAAATAAATTCCCCCCGAACTGTCCGCCATTTGTAATACAACGCGCTAATATCGATTTCATTAACATTCCAAAAGTTGCTCCCCCACTTGGCATGTTGTAAAACACTGAGCGGACTGGACTGGACTGGACTCGAAAAACACTGACTCTGTCAGTGCTTTGTAAAACAGATTCAGTCAATGATTTTTAAAACACTGACTCAGGCCCCGTTCACACTATACCGGATTCTCTTGCCACGATATCTTCGTTTGCCTTTAAAGGGCAACGGTTAGTAGCAAATGTTTATTAGTTTGACAGATTTGGTACTGATATTTACTTTGATCTCTGACAGTAAAGTTTTTACTGCCTTTTAAAAGCTACAAAATTTGACCCACTCCGGAAGCAATCCGGTATAGTGTAAACGGGGCCTCAGTCAGTGATTTTTAAAACATTGACTCGGTCAGTGATTTTTAAAACATGGACTATTAATACATGGACTATATTATAATTCCCACCAGGAATTATTATATTATTATTATTATTAATGGTTTATTATTAATGGTTTAAAATACACACCTTCGCAAATCGCAATTAATTGAATTACGGTGCGTTTACAAAAATTATGGAAGTAGCTATTATTTACAGTATATTTACACATAAAAAAGTTAAGCTATTATCTACAGTATATTTACACATAAAAAAGTTAAGTCAAATCTAAGTTTAAAATCTTATTGCACTACTACAACGATACTCGTATTAAGATATTACACGTGAAATTATTTACTGTTATTCAATAAAACTACTGTACTAGGAAAGAAACTACGGCGGTATCTTTCTGTTCAACATTTTATTGTTGTTAATGTATTCGAGTTTCTAAGTTCATAATCATTTGTACAAGCCCTGGTCAATGGAACATATTTTGCCAAAGGTCCTCCTTTTTCTATACTTTTCATTGTATCAAGGCAAAGTTGCTCTCGTCTTTCATCCAATCTGGAACACCCAAGGTGTGCTAGGGCTTCCTTATAAGAGGGTCCCCTATACCCCTTTTCAAATTGCATTCACGTAAAAATATTTAGCCCATTTACGAGTCACGGAAAATCGTAAAAAAACGTTCACATTCACACTAAACTCACAGCAACCACGATTCACGCAAAAATGCAAAAGACATTCACGGATAATTATTTTTAATTGGTCTCAAAACTTATCTACAATTTTCGCATTTTCTCAAACTGCGCAGGCAGGCAGGATGCAGTAAAATAATAGAACTAATACTAAAGTCTTTTTAAGTTTGAAGTATTTTTAAGCAGTAAAGATTTGTTGTTTGAGGGCGGGTAATAAGACATCGCTGGCGCTGCAGTGCTTTGCTTTGTTAAACTAGTCAAACTAGGTTAATGTATCGTGCGTAGAATTTCTATTGATTATCCTGTGTGGACAGTGTGGTTCTTTATAGTTTACCCGAGGAAAGAAGTCCATAAAATCCTCAAAAGTCTTACTGTTTCACGCAAAAATAGCTGTTCACGGAATCACACTTTATTCTAGACCTCGTTTACAGGTCACGCCAAAATCCAAAGTTTTCTTCACGCTCACGTAAAACTTTTCGATCACGAATCACGGATTAAATAAATCGCTGATCACGTTTCACGGGTAAGAAAATGAGGCCAATCACGCTTCACGCAAAAGGTATAGGGGACCCTCTTATAAGAATAGCCCGGTAAGATAATTCTCAGAGCTCGTTTTTGTACTCGCTCTAACTCTTCAGCAAGGTATAAAGGTAAAGAGTGGTGCCATGCAACGCAACAGTACTCCAGAACAGATCGTATTAGGGCAAAATATATACTTAGTAAATCCTCCGCGGGAACGCCACCTCGTCGTAAAGAGCGGATGATATGTAAACGTTTAGAAGCCTTGGATACAACTGACTCTATATGTTCATTCCATTTAAGATCACTTTGAATAACCAGACCAAGTACTTTATGAGACCGCACAACATCAATCAAATGACCGTCAATCATTAATGGTGATAATTCGGGAGTTCTCCTGAGGAAACAAACACGTAGTTCCTTGCATTTCTTGGCCGATTGAGTTTCATAAAATTACTCGAAGCCCAAGAATTGATTGAATCCAGACCTAACTGAATCTTTGAATTGCTGCCTTTTGTAACATATTCAGATGTTGATATATCGTCCACAAACTTCCAAATATCCATTTCGTGTGTTTTTACATCAAGGTCATTTATCATGACCAAAAACAAAATTGGTCCAATTGGATTTCTCCCCCGAGTTTAACGGGATGTCGGCGATTAGTGAGGAAGTTGATAATCCAAGGTAACAGAGACGATCTGACACCTATGCCTAACAGCTTTGATATCAATAAATTATACCCTATACGGTCGAACGCCTTTGCGAAATCAAGGAAGCAAAGTCTAAGATATTTTTCAGGGGATTCTAAATTACACAACCAGGTATGGATCATATCCAGAAGACAATAAGTTGTTGACGTGCCTTTCTAACTTCCAAACTGTTTAGGGTCGATCTTGTCTTTAATATCAGTTATCATCCACCTGGTGGATGTCCACCTCAGTGAGATGGGTCTAGTGTCACCTTCGCAGGTAGGAGATTGTGATTTTGGGATCGGTATAATGTCTGAATCTTTCCATATTGCAGAAACAATTCCAGATGTGAGTGATGCATTGAAGATGGTTGCGACAGGCTCGGCTAGTTCGTAGGTGAACTCTTTTAGGATACGGCAAGAAATGTTATCTGGACCGTGGGCTTTAAAGGGTTTAACTGCTGAAAGTTTTTGAAACACTTCGTGCGGTTGGACAGTTGGAACGGGTTCTTTGGTTGGAAGAAATGCTGGAAGTGCAGTCAAGTCAAGTGGTGGAATGTCAATATTCACCGATGCATAGAACATATTCAAAACATTAACTAATTCATATTGATCAAGGGTTCTTCCAACTTGTTCAAGCAAAAAGGAGTGATTCTTTTCGGATTTTCCACCCATTTTATTCACAATTTTCCACCACATGCTACAGTCATCCTTCTTTAAATGCTGCACCTTTGTTTTATAGTACGATATTTTCCTCGCATTGATCTTTTGCTGAACCCTATACTTCAGTGATCTCCATAAGGTTGTGTTGTGCCTATGAAACGCCTTCTGTCGGTCTTTGATAAGTTGTTTTATTGCGGGCGTTATCCATGGTTTATCGTTGTGATGACGTATTAGAGTCTTTTGTTGGAAAATTTGGTCGACACTTTCTGTTAACTGGTTTGTGAAAGAAACCGCTAGACAATCAACAGTAGGATTGGGAACAAGGACACAAAAACCATTCGTGTGTACTAATCCATCTACCAAAAGCATCTATCCCGGATTTAGTGTAGCGGCGTACTAAGGTTTTGACAGATTTCACTTGTATGTTGTGGTTGGAAATGCTATCAGCAAAAGGTAGCCAGAGTAGGATATTGTGGTCACTAGATCCTAATGGAGCGAGAACTTTAAGGCAATTATATAATTTATGCATATTTGTAGGATAAGATCCAATATTGCTGATTCTCTGGTTGGTTGGTCAACAACTTGTTTAAGATTTTGAGTGGTAATTAAAGTACGTATTTCAAAATCGTTGAAGTCGCCCAAGATTACTAGACCATGGTCAGGGTGCTTATTCCGAAGTTGGTCAATAGTATTGATTAAATAATCGTTGAGGTCGTTGTGCTCTGATACTGCCAAACCTGGCAGATGGTATACGACACAAATTGCTAGGCCAGAGGGAGGTCTGGAAAGGCGTTTAAGTCGTAGGTTAAGCCATAAGCATTCTAAATTTTCCCTTTCTAGATCTACCCGTCGCATACAATGAATGTCGTTTTTGACAAAAACACAAACTCCCTAATATAGCTCAGCGGTTTCTCGTTTCTGGCGGGAATTAAAAAACTATTAATACATGGACTATATTATAATTCCCACCAGGAATTATCATATAGCTCAGCGGATTCTCGTTTCTGGCGGGAATTAATCATATCCAGTTCAGTGATCGTAGCGCAGTAAATACTAAATCCAGTAGCATTGGAATTTACATATGTAGGAGAAAGCAACATGATGTAAATCGTGAATATAGAGGTGTGAAAGCCTGACTTTTACATGGACCGAATTTGCCGA